GGAAAGTACAGCTTTTCTGGTCAGCAGGAATATATTTTACCTATTAATTGACAATGCAGTTTAAGACTGATAGAAGCTATCCTCTGAGAAAACACAGCACATTAGGGAGTTGCCCTGAATGAAATCAGACATAGCTGAAATTGCCAATTATGTCATACTGGTAATTCAGAAGAATTACTAGCTCTTAGCTTTCTATGGAAAAATCGCTAACTGCCCCCAGGCTCCTTCCACTGCCCAGCTCCGCACACCCATGTCTGTGTGCACAGTGAGCCTGGGGCACCCCTGGGCCAGCAGCCAGCAACCAGACCACAAAATCCCCCAAATCCTTCTCCCAGGCAATGCTTTCCATGTGCTGACTGTCTGTCCCATGCAGCCCTTCTTCCCCAGCCCCACCACTGAAAGGAATGTACTGGGCACATCCTGGGCCTGAGGGCTTGTTTGAGTTGTTGGTCATTTATTTGGGGTTTTTAAGTGTCCTGAAAGCTTTAAGCTGCTGAGAGAGTAGCATCAGTCCAAACACTTCCAGCAGTACCAGGATTATCTGTGTTTGCAACAATTTTAAAACTAATCCAAAACTCTTTTTGGGGATTTACTCACTTGTTGAGCCTTGTGGCTGTCAGATTTCTTCTTTTCAGAACTCTCATCCACTGTTATTTTGCAATAAGAAAGGGTTTTCTTTGTGTCCCAGGGTCAACTGTGCCAGAAGATGTAATTCTCAACCATTTTTAGCTCTTACGGTTTATAGCATTTGGCCTGGTCTAGCAGAGGGCTTAAGGATTTTGTTGTATGGATTTAGTTAGCATGAGTCGGGCTTCTCAGTTAGCATAAGTAGAGCTTCTCTGTAAGTGGAAAAATACTAGGCCAGAGGGGAGGTTAGCCAGGGATAGCAGTGGGGGAAATGAAATCGCAACATTAGCGACGTTAAGAACAAAAACCAGGATGTAAAACCACAGTATAAGAATGTTGAGGTTAGTGCTAAACATAAGTAGCTGTTGTAACTTGTATTACGCAACTTTGTATAAAGCCCAATCAGAAGCTTCTTGGCAAGGCATGTTAACCAATCGGCGTATAATCAACATGTGGATTTGTGTATAAAAGATCATGTCTGATGCTCAATAAACGGCAATTGCTTGATCACATTGATCATCTCTGCGTTGTCCACGACTCCCGTGTCGACAGGATTTCATGATTATTCTTGCTTCTAAAATGCGCCTGTGATGGCTGTTGTAACTTGTATTAAGCAACTTTGTGTAAAGCTCAATCAGAAGCTTCTTGGCAAGGCATGTTAACCAATCGGTGTATAATCAATGTATGGATTTGTGTATAAAAGATCATGTCTGATGCTCAATAAACGGCAATTGCTTGATCACATTGATCATCTCTGCGTTGTCCACGACTCCCGCGTCGACAGGATTTCGTGATTATTCTTGCTTCTAAAATGTGCCTGTGATGGAAATAATGGGTTTGTTTGTTTGTTTTTGCCTGTAGAAACTGTAAAGCTTTCAGTTACTAATGATTTATGACTTTATACAACTCCAGAACAAAGCCGTGGACATTGGCAAGAGGTGCCCTCTCCTGGCGTACTGACCCATGACACCCTGCAGGATGCAGTGCTGTTTGAGGAGACACAGGAGCCAGCGCTGCCAGTCAGTGCTGGTACAGATTTAGAGAAGAGTTGTCCTTTCAGCAGGAGTTTATGTGCTGTTTTAATGGTTTATTATATAGCAGAGCACACATTCAGAGTTCTCTGTCTAAGGATTCACTGAAAGACCTGAATAGAAAAGGATGCTTATTTCACGATAATCTGATTTGAACATCATACAACTTTTTAAAAACCTTTATAGCCTGCATTTTAAGTTCTTTGCTACAAAAGCTTTAGTCAACCCTACATAAAAGTCAAAAAAAAAAAAAAAAAGCAGCGACCTTCTGGATCATCACCCTAGTTTAATTGCATTAAGAAGATTCCTCATATGCATGTTTTAACATGCATAAGATGTTTTAACATTTTTAGAGTAACTGCTGTTTTTTTTTTCTAGCATTGTTAAGTAGCAAATGGTATCAGTATTTGTACTTACCAAAACTGTCAACTTTACCAGGGAGGTTTATAGAAGACATAATTGCAAACCTGTAACTTGCATCTTTTCATTTATTCCCAGATTCATTATCCCCCATCTTTCCTAGACAAGATGTATCTCTTGGTCTGGAGATATGGAGCTGAACACAAGCCAATCCCACCCTTGAAGCAACTGCCCAGGCATAGAAGATGAGAACAGGTTTGAAACATCCTGCAAATTCCTACACTTGCAGGTCCAGTAGGCTTTGCTGCCAACTGGGTTTCCAGGAGTAGCTAAACCTGAATATTCCTGGTAGGTGTGAAATGAAGTGGATTTGGAACCAGTTACACTTGGAGGTTTTTCACAGCCATCCATAGGATACTTTACAGTAGCATTTAACTGTGTAAATTTTTCATCTTTTCTGGATTAAAAGATCTTTCAACCTTCATCTGTACATGTATCTCTGTATCCATCTACCCGTGTCTGTCTCTCTTGTTATCTGTCTCTATCAATAGCTCCAACTTCAGTAACGTGCTTGCCTATCAGTGCAATAAATCACTCCTGCTGGTGAGGATGTCCCACTTTCTGCTACTGACTCTAGGCTGCTGTGGGGTGAAGGCCCTTTAGCATAGGGGATGCTGGGGACTTTTTTTTTCCTTCAGGTGATTTTTTCTCTTCTTTTGAGGGTGATATTTTGTGCTAATCTTTTTCTTAAGAATATTTGCACTGCCTCTTTGTTTTAATATTTCTCATATTGCCTTTGTTATCTGACCAAAATGAATTCTAAACTGGATTTCAGACCTTGCCTAGAAAAGAAGTCTCTCAATATGTCTTTCAAGTTTGACAGGATGTTGACATTATATTTCAGTATGGTTTAAGTTTTGAATCTGCTGTTTCCAGCCAATTTGAAAGCATCGTGTCTATCCCTCTTACTCTTCTTTTTCCCTAAACTTCTGTGTAAAGTGCTGTCAGTTTTCTCTTTGCTAGGTTGAAACTCCCTAACAAGGCAATTTGAAACTTTTAAACAGTACTTCAAGCACTGCCTTCCATAGAATTAGGTTTGCATCCTATCCACTGCAAACAAGTTCATTTTGCATGGTACATGCTGTCGTTTGGTTGCAGGGGGAAGCCAGGGAGGAGGAAATTATGCAAGGAATCATTAAAACAGATGAAGAATTGTCCATGCTTCCCATGTAGATACCACTGTTTTTTTTTTGCAAAGAAATAACAGTGCGTGACTCTGACACATGAAAGTGTCACTTTCTGTTTTAATCACATGCTCATCATTTTCAGTTTTAACAATATGTTCATACAGGATTATGGCTAAAAGTAGAAAGAATATCAGTAAACATTTCTATACATCTTTCAGTGCTTTTTAATTTAATAGCGTATATTAGAGTGAAATATTTTTGTTGTTATTTTTTTAAACACAGAGGCCCTGAGAAATGGAAATGTACTGACTAGCCTAAAGGGCATGAAGAATCCTGGATTTAATCAGTTCTGGATGAAAGTCCCACCTTTATAATTAAAACAATTGTATTTTAATCCAATTAATTTATAATTTAATCCAAATGTCTTTTAATGGGGGGAAAAAACCCTCTAATTACCTATAGCTATGGTATTTACATACCAAAGAGGTACTTTAATGAATAGAAAGGTCCATTTATGACTCTATATGCTGTGTTAAGAGTGTTAATTTCAGAAACCACTTCATCTTGTTTAAAACTAGAACATATTTTATTCTTCCACAAGACTAAGAGACCTCTGGCATTAAATGCTAGTGTAAACAGTTTTCACATTTTAATCCTAAAAATAAAATCTCATCACTGCCATATATAGTAGTAACAAGTTAATAGAAATTTGGAGGAAAAGGTATGTGTATGTGTGATTGTAAGTTGTGCTATGGTGTTGCAGATAACATATGTTATACATGACTGTAGTTAATGTGAATACCATAGAGGGGAAAGCAGTGGAGAGTGATAGTAATATATTCATGTTAACACATCATTCTGGATTCTTCTCTCTCAGTTCTTCCTCAATACATGTGAACTTCCAACTTTAAAAGATCTGACCAGAAGTAATTTCTAGTAGAAATATGGAATTGATTAATTTTCCTGAAATGTTTAGAAAAACTCATGCTGCAGTTCAATAGAATTTTCCTATACTGAGAGATGAAATAGAGTACTTAATACAGTTTACTGAGGATGAGATATATGATGGCTTTTGTAAAGGAAGTTACGCGCTACTGATTGATAAGCAACCTCTTTGAAGTCCACACCTCACTAAGCATGTGGACCTAAGGCAGTTAGTATAGTCTGCTTGGATTTCCAAAATGTAAGGTCCCTCCCCAAAGAGAAGTGACACCGGTTTGAGACAGACAGCCTTCTCTTTTCTAAGTGATGAAAAGAGTAAAACAAAGGAAAGGGGATAAATGGTCAGTGGAGAGAAGTCACTGGAGGATGTATATTATGGTCTGTCCTGGTTGATACAGTTGTATGTGTAGAGAAGGGAGTAAGAAGTAAGGTGACAAAGTCAGTGATAATACCATATTACTACTAACTATTAAAAGGGGTGATGGCAAGGACTTGCAGAAGGACCTTGTGATGTTGACTGCATAGGCTGAGAATTGAAAAGGAAAACTGAGTTTAGATAAATGTGAAATAATACACAAGGGGAAAAATTATCATAAATTCACATATAATATGTGTTCTCAGCTCATCCTATATATAGATGAAGACTTGGGATTGCACTGTATGAAAATATTGCCTCCAATCTCAGTAATGGTCAAAAAAATCAAACACGGTGTTAGAAACTGTAAGATAAGGAACAGAGAACAAAGTAGAAAACCTCACTGCACCCCTGCATAAATTCATGACTAATAAGTGCACTTCAGAATCATTAAAAGCTTCAGACAAGCATATCAAAAGTGATCAAAGGTATAAAAGATCATACCCATTTTGCCTAGAAAGGTTGTACCAGATAATCCTTGATCCTGGTATTCTATGATTCTATGATATGTACGTATAGTATGAGATACATTTAAATAGACTAAATCTTTTTAGCCTGAAAATGAGATGATTGAAAGATAACTTGATGGAGACAATTTACCTGTGCATCAATCAAAGCAGGTTGCTTGACATTCTCTTTCTGTTTCAAATCTATTGCTGGAACCATTACAACCTCTGTACCAGAACTGGCCACAAGAATTGCCATTCTTGTTGTAACACCATTTCACCATGTAGTCCTGACAATCCCCTGGTTTCATAGGTACCAAGCACCTTGGATCTGAAAGTGTTTTGATAAAAGTTAGCTTGGATTCTGGAGAGGAGTTATATTATCCAAGAAGTGCCTTCTTCAGTAAGAAGAGCACCCCTTTTTTTCCTTCCCTGTAGTGCCTGGGAGTATATGTGCCTCTCTTAAATTTGTAGCTAAATTCCATTTCTGAGTTACCTGAATAGGCCTGAAAAAATACAGGATCAGTTTGAAATGAGACTGCCTAAATCCTGATGTAAGGATGCTGCTATTTAAATCTGTAGGCATATAATTGGTATGCAAGGGTTGTCTGTCAGAAAGGTTTGAAAATCTGGCTCTCACTGTGTGTGATGTCTGTAGGCAGCACCCAGAAAACAAAAGGTGATAAATTCTAGTAACTATACTTGGGGAGAGATTGGGGTGCTTCCCATATTCTTTTTTTGGTGCAGATTTGCTACAGTATTTATTACCTTTTTGGGTTGTTCCTACCTGTGTTTGCAGCACAATTAGGTGGTGATCTTCAGCAGCAGTTGCATTGAACAAAGGATTAACAGCTGAACTCTGAGGTCTGTTTTCATGTATGTCATAAAGCGAGGGAAATCTTGATTCTCTGTGGGCAGAGGTGGTCACAGTGTGATCCTGAGCAGTTGGCAGTGGCTCAGTGTATCTGGTCTGTGGTGGTCTAAGCTGCAAAAAGAGTCAAAATCATCAAACTCTGTCTGGGCTCAGATGCTAAATTAAAGAGTTGAGAGAATTATGTTGGAAGCTTTTGCTAAATAATCAGTGAAAAAATACCATTAACAGCAGGTAGGTTCGGACCATTGGCTATTTTTAGGCAAAACAGTAAGAACACCCTAGAGAATTAGTGCTGATATATGATAAAGGTGACAGATGTCCTACTCTGATACTAACACAGTGACTGAAAAATACCAAGGATTTAATAAGGGAACAAAGATGACATACAACTGCAGAAAGTATTTATCTATTGCATTAAAACTCAACCTTTCCTCTATATCTGTGCAGCAGCACTGTGTTGGAGGGCAGAACCTCAGTGCAGGGCAGGAGGCATTTAAAGCTGGAGAACAAAGAGTAACATAGATGAGGAGTCCTAGGAGTACAGCCCAATGTGGAAAGCAAAAGAATCCTGAATGCTTTATACTAACAATCAGCTTGCACACAAATAAATGCCTTACACACTATGTATCTGCCTCGATAGAGACGGATCTTTAAGATTTGTAACTCACTTCTAAGGTGAATAAGAACTACAAAAAATATGAGGACTGTTGGCATTTATTGCAACTAAGAAGCAATATTATCTTCTTCATCCTGTCAGCTTCTGTTCTCACCATATAAGCTCACTCAAACTTTAAAAGTCTTGAGGCAATCTTTTGGTCTGACATATTTGCATGTTAAAAGAATGGTGAATAGTGAAATAAAGAGTATTTGAATTCAAATAAATACATTTTATAACTGTTGCTTCTTTACTTACTGGGTAACTGATTCCTTCCTTAGGGAGCACATAAGTCTCTGATGTAGTACTTGTAGGTAACTGGTTATTATTATCTTTACTAGCAATTTCAGATTCTGGACTTGGAGCTGGAGATAAACCATTATCTTTTCTGGTGTAGAATTCAGACATATTCTCACATATTTTTGTGATCAGTTTATTTTCAAGAGCTGAAAAGATTAACAAAATGAGGAAACTTAGTAAGGGTAATCAAGAAAAGTCATAATAATTCAAACTTTTAACCCTAAATCTTTAATGATAGTGTCTTGTGAAAGACCATTAAAGTGCAAATGGGAAGAAACAACCTAATGCACTCTTGGAAGTACTTGACTTTAAGTGCTTTTGTTCTTTCAAGAAGAAACAGATGAAAATACTACGTCCGTTTCCTAAAGCAGAAGTCATGGCTCAACAGCAAAGGAGAAACAAAAGACTGAAGGAAAGCAAATGTTTACATGTAAGATGGAAAAACTGGGCGACACATGCTACTTGCACAAAAAAATATCAGTGACTGGGGTTACTTTTATGTTGAGTGCTTGAGCCTGAGTCAGAGCCCTATTTAATTTCAGCTTGGACCAGAACTTTAGCTTGGACTCTCTTCTCACTGTTAATGTCTTAACTCCATCCACAAACTAAGCATAGCAAAATAAGTTTATACTTAGAAAAAATATACTTTATAGGGCTATAAGACTAGCCTGTGGTTAGTCTAGATTGATGTCCTTTGTTTTTTTATGTCATGGGCCATTATAGGTTTCCTTTGGATTTTCTCCTGATTCCAGATGTGGCCACAGTATTTTTTCAAGCCACAATTTGATGTGTACAATGTACTATCAGACCCCATTTCCTTGTGTGCTGCTCCACCACTTTTCTCTTAGAATCAGGATGAAAGTGTAGGTTCCCCTATGGCTTTCAGAAAAAAAAACCCAAGACACTAAACCAGGAGATGATGGAGGGACTCCAAGGCTGACAAGAGCCATATGAAATAAAGAAAGATACAAAGATGTTGCATGAGGGTGGAACCTCTCCAGGATGAAACCATGGCCGAGAACAAAAGGACAGCAAGGAAAGGCTGATGCGTACTCTCGTGAAATAGGAGTGCCCCAAAGAAGGTCTTGGCTCAGAAAAATGGTGTTCACTGTGTTTTACTGTTTCTGCAAGAGGTAAAAAATTTGGCAAATGTTTCATTTGGCCAGAGAAGAGAAACAGAAGAAAGAGCTGTATCCAAAGGAGAAACATAAGCTGCCATTCAGCAGGCCACCTTGCCTTGCTATAAGAATGATCTAACTCTCTTAGATGCTTATTTCAAGTTTCTTCTTAGTAAAAAGGTTTCTTTTACCTGAAAGTGTCATGAAGTCATCTATCGGGTAAACATGTTCATCAATGTGCTGCATTCCTTTCCGAAACTTGTCATAATAAGATTTAGTCCTTTGAATGATCCCAATGACAAATATCTCAATATTTGCAACATGTGCCTTTCTTACTACAGTGTCTAGTTGTACATCTTCATGACTCTCCACTTGCCTATCTGTTATGACAACAGCTACTTTCCTTACTGCTGGGCATGCTGCCTGAAAAAACCAAATGGTTTCTCGGATAGCCGAAGCTTTGTACTTGCCTTCTCTGAAGTAGGGCATGTTATCAACAGCTAATTTCAGGGATTCCTTGGATGTGTATTGCTTCAGAGAAAACACCAGCTCCACTTTATGGCTGAAGTTGATGATGCTGATGCGGGTTGTAACATGGTTGGATGATACCTTGTCAATGACTGTTTTCATGAAAGTATTTATAATAATGAAGTTTTCTGGTCCAACACTTTCAGAACCGTCAGTAACAAATACTAGTTCCAATCTACACCTGATTCCACAACCTAGAAAAAAACAATTGCAGACATTTCATAAGCAGCCACCATCATAACAATTAACTGAACTCATATATCAGATTTACACTTGAAGCTAAATTAATTAATTAATTAATCGTTACAGGTACTGATAAACAGAAACAGAGCTTGATCAAATTACTAGCAGTACAGCTCTGGCAACATACTGAGCACCATTTTCACATCAGTGGTATCCTTATACACAAACATGCAGAGGACAAATCCATTCAGTCAGAATAAATCCAGTGTGTTTGATTAGAACCTTTTTTTTTCCATACTGGAACCATTAGCACATATTTCATTGATAAGTCTGATAACTTCTTCTCTCTGGAAAAAAAAAAAAAAAGGAGTATTAATTAATTTGCTGTGTGTTTGAGTTTTAAGAATGCTGGTTTCTGTGTATTTATTTACAAAAATGCAGGCAATGCAATGCCCCATAAGCAGCCTTGCATAACGTCACCTAACCTCTAAGTATTTTCCCCAAATAAACTCCTATCTTTAAATTAATTCTTTTACATACTCACCGAAAGACCTGGTTCACCTTTTCTTCCCCCAGATTAACTGAAAATGTGTAGAATAAGATGATTAAAAAAGCCAAATTTGTCTAACTTCTACCACGTAAAATTAAGTAATACAAAAAAGTGTTTTACCTTTGGTCCTGGAGGTCCTGTGTCTCCAATCTCTCCTTTGGCACCTTTGCTCCCTGGATCACCTTTGTCTCCATAGTCTCCCTAATTTAAAACAACTGTATTAAACACAGCCAGTAACTCTGGTTTTGTTGATAGTCAGAATTGGCTTTCTTTTAACATAGGTTTTCTGATTTATTTTTTTTTTTGGTCTGTGTGTGTGGCTGATTTATCTTGTATGCATTATGAAGAGAATACCTGAAAGCAAGCTCTCAGAGAAAGCAAGATGGGCAGTAAAAACACCTTTAAAAATTGTTATGAAAAATTACCTTAATTGAGGACTGAGTAGTAAAGACATCTTTACACAAGTGCCTAGAATATATAATTTACTCTTCTTTGATTTTCTTGAACTCTAAATGATCTTTACACTTGACCTATATTAATTGAGCCCTATGAAGAAACGTAACTGCCTCAGATCAGCCAAGGTACTGGAAATCACACCGGTTGTGTGGGTATAGAACCCACATGAAAAACTGGGAACTTACAAGAACAGGGGAAAGGGCATGCTTGGACTGTTACAGCCATTGGAAAATATGCAGTTTTACATTTATAAGCAATTCTGCACTTTTTCCCTCAAGTGACCAAACCTTTTGATTTCCAAAATGAGAAAAGGTTCAACGGTATGGTATTCCAAGAGACAGTTTTCACATAATGCAGTTATGAAACACAATATCAAAAGATTCTGGTGGTAAATCGGACATTTCTTCAATAAGATTGTGCAGGAGAGTTTTTTACTTATCTCTGGAAGTTACTGATCACCTTATATTTTACTTGAAACTTTAAAGTTTAGAAAGTTATTTAGATTACTGTCCATTTTGATAGTATTCCTCATAAATACCCAGCTGATGGAATCACATATATAACTCCCTGTTACAGTGTTTGCCATCATGATTGCTATCAATTTTAAGGCACACTTTTGACACTCTCAGTCTGATTCTAATGTCACTGAAACTGGTCTTTTAACCTGAAAGTTGTACATAGCTTCTCCACAGCATTAAGATAATCATTCTCCACTAAGTAAGCTCTGGGAAGACAGTTCCTGTACTATTTCACAAAATTGTAAAATCCAGCAAAGGATATTACTTTCCATTACCTGTCCATGAATTGAATCTAACCTCATCAAAGTTAAAGAGGACAAATATGATCTACTGACTGCAGTGCTACTGCTACCGTCTTACATATAAATATACTAAAACCTGACCTCTTTGGTATTTGGCACTTATATGAAATTCCTACTGAATAAAACCATTCCTTCTCATGTATGATGAGTTTGAGTATTTGGAGAATTTACACTGGGTCACAAAGACTAGCCAAGATATGAGATGAATAAGAAGAACAGTGAAAATATTGCAACTATTATTACAGTATGTACCATTTGGCATCTGAGAGAAAACAGAATTAGAAGGCAGATATTTGAATCTGTGTGAATGAGCTTGATATTTGCTGTTGCATCAAAGCTCCAAGCTATAGTAGTTTGAATAATACAGAAGTCCGAGAAAGTGCTAGATAGTGTAAACTTATTGTAGACCATAGTACCATGAACATTGCTAGCGCAGGCAGTAAATGGGTGGGGCTCTCAATGGGTACTGCCTATCTTAGGTGACTACAGAGAGGAGTGAACTCTTGGTTGGGTATCTTCTTAAAGTTAGGGAGCCTGATCATTTCTGCTTACCCATGAAGACTGCCATGGGTTTGTTCTTCCTCCGGCTTTCCAGACAGAGCTTTCACAGTATAGTCAATATTTCAGCTATGTTGTAATTGTTGCAGAGGAGCTGCCCAGCTGGCCCAGGCAGCTCCTGTGAATTGAAGGTGGTGTGCTGCATCATGCATTTACATCAATGCTCATTCTACCTGGGCATATTGTTCCCACCTTTGTATGCACATAGTTGGTCTGCATATCCACACTGAGCATGGGCCTTGGTTTCCTTTGGCTAGGCTGCTCCCATCAGAAGCTGCACATCTGAAAATCACTAACAAAGAGACAAAGTATTTAAATTCTCTTTGTGCAAAATTTGATAGATGGGAATAGGTGTGTGTGGGAAATTCTTACAATTGTTATGTCAACCAGGAAGCTGTTCAGTAAGGAAAAATTCAAGCTTGGGCTTCAATCATTATAAAAAGAAATTAGTCAAATAAAATAAAGCCCTTAAAAGACATTAATAATGAAAAAAATCTTCTTTTGTCAAAGCCTGACAAATAAAAGAACATTTTGTAATGTTTGAAAAATACCTAAGATAACTGAATACCTAATTTGACTAGTATTATTCTCCTGCTAACAGGTATGATCTCATTTTAAATCCTACTTCAGAGCCTGGTCCTTAATGACAATTAGGATTTTTACAGACTCGAAAGCTGACAGTAAGTAGTGGGCACTTACCTTGCAATGTCTTTGCCTTCTATTTATCTTCAAAGACCTGTCACAGCAAATAACCAATAAAGGAAGAAAAAATAGCCTTTTATTTCTCTACCGCAAACATAGGATTTACCTTTGGTCCAGGAAGGCCAATTCCTATTGATCCCTTTTCTCCAAGAAAACCTTGATTTCCTTTTTCTCCCTAAACAGAAAATGGAAAGTAAGTTTAACTGAAAACTAAAGTAAATCCTATGCTGTATCTATTTACTTTGTAACATTGTGCATCATTGAGAAAGTCAGACATTACACAATGAAGCACATAATTTTCAAGACAGAAATGGTCTGAAGCTGGATAAATATGCAGTTTGGTATGATTCAGAACACACATGAAGCCTTTATAAAAAGTATGAAGAATTATTCCTGATTAATTAAATGAAATAGTCACTTCACTAAAATAGATGAAAGACAAAAGTAACCTTACTAAGGCTCAGACAGTTATTCATCCAGTGTACAAGCTGTAAAATGTGGTCCAACACACAGGTTCTCTAGAAACACACACACAGAATCTCAGCAGGGTTGACTTACTTTTTTTTTTATCTTAAGCAAATAAAGACACCTCTGCTTTTCACAACGTGGAGAGCAGAACATCTTGCTGCTGATATGTCAAAAGACAGTATCAGTTCAGGTCCAAAGTTCAAATTTGTTTTCTAATTATTGTTAAATATGTCTTGCTGCATGCGTGCAGACTTGAAAAGCACGTTCATGCTAGCAGTGTGTGCATACAATATATTATAAACCACAGCAGCTACAAAATATGTACAAAAAATCCTTCACAGCATCTGCCTTCCAGAAATTTTCCTGCTTTATTTAATAGGGTAACACAGTTTGGTTTTTGTTTTTGTTTTTTTTCCAGATCAACTGCTGTATACATTTTTAACAGTGCTAGAGGTGATTGTATTTCCTGTTACATACATTCTTCACCATAACTGACATTACATAAATGATTCACATAACAGCAGTGCCTGGTGCAAATACAAAAAACGGTTCCATAGAATGTCAATGAGACCAGGAGCAGTCCTCATCTGTAACTATCCCAGTTCAGGAGATGCAAGTTCAAGGTCAGTTAGTTGTATTTTTCAGTCAAGACCTCTTAGACTGTCTTACTAAAACATCTTCTATTGGTACTTGTATAGCTGCTCACAAATTTGTTTAAAGGAGCTATATTGCTCATAATGGGCAGAGAAATACAAAAACGTTTCCAAATTTATCAAGACTCCAGCTTCACCAAAGCACACTAGAGCAACTTTCGCAGTTCAATCTATGTACAAATTTGACCTTCAGTCTTAAAACCCAAGGTGATATGCGTGTAAAAGTGCAGACCCTTGGATCCCTGACCCCAATACATTACTGATCAATAACCAGACTTCCATGTAAAAATGTCATTCTATGAACTAAGTGCAGTTCTAAGAATGTCTAGACTGTGGTTTTGAAAGGAAACCGAGCATTAAAAAAAAAGACCCGCAAATGTAGCTATCAACATAAAGTTACTTGAAAACCATCTAATTTTTGACATTCCGTTCTTACCATATGCAGACTGAGCTTTATGTATATATATCAAAAAATAATTGGAGTGATATTTATTTTTCAAATGCAAGAGTATAATAATATAATGGCCAAAAAGAATTAAGCTTGAAGTAACTGCGAAGAGGTAGGAGGCAGAAGAGTCAGATAGAAGCTCAACAAGCATCAGTGTATGGAGGAAACAGGTATTACAGGAGCACGACAGTTGCCAAAGTTGTTCAGAAAGTTCTTCCTAAGAATTATATGAAAATAATCATAACTTAAAAAAGTGATTGTTAAAGGGAAGAAAATTTAAATGACAAGACTGTACTAACACAACTTGTGGAATGCAATAGACACAACATCAGCTGAGTTTGAGTCACCCTATCATTACAGCTTTGGTTTCAAACCCAAAGAAAAGACCTTCCATAGCAAAAGCATGTTACTTTCCTATATTCCTAAATTCTCCATCCTTACGTTACAAATATGCTTTTTCTCTCACAATGTGTGTCAGTGGACTTTTTCCACTGGAAAACTTCCATGATGAAACTGAGTTCTCTGCACTTGATTGTTGAAACATTTCTATTCAAAATAGCAATTGCACTTTTATAAATAACCTCACGTATCCATAGACTTAACAAAGATACATCCCATATATTAGACTCTGGAAGCACATCAGAAATCTCTGTAAAGCCAGGCATGTAATCGTTTTCCTACACTATAAAGCCATACAGAGATGGCAGAAATGTTTCTGTTTTCCACAAGAACAGAGCAAATAGCTTTCAGAGATTCAGCAAACAAATGAAGAAAAGACATTCCTTATGCCCTCAAATTAAAATACTTAACATCTTTATGGTTACTGGTGACAATTAATACAGAGGAAAACCACAAAAAAGTCAGAACCAAAGGTCTAGACAGTCATTACTCTTAATTGTGGAATGTCCTGAGACAAGATAAATTAGAATCTGTTAAAGGGAGTTCTATGATAAGCAGAAAAGAAAGAACACAGTAAATTACAGTTTTATGCCATGAAACACAGTAAAACAAGGAGAGGGTCTCTGCAATAAAAAATGGGAAATGATAGAACATGAATATAAAAGTAGAAGACATTGAAGCTGGAATCAGAGCAAGTACTGAACAAAAGAAATTCAGAAGGAATCGGTGCTCTTTTGGTAAAGCTTGTATGAAGTAAATCCATGCTGAACTCAACAGTTAAAGCAAGTATTACATACCATGAACAGGAAACTTAAATGGGCAATGAGTACTTGTAGGAGTTCACTGACTCGGTGGCCAAGAGAAAAACAGGCAATGAATCTCCTTAAGGAGAGTTTTGAGAAGAAACTACACAGATATCACACTGACCTGGGTTACCTTGCTTCCTTGTACGCTGGCACCAGCAGGGCCAGGTGGACCAGGCAAGCCTTTCTGTCCCATAATACCCTGTAATAGTGGAGCAAAAAAAAGAAGAATCAGGAGGTAAACTCTTCCAGGTAACACTAAGGAAGTCATCTCAAAGTCACTGCAAGCAAAAAATACAGCCATGTCAAAACCACCAGGTCTGTTTCCTCTTTGGTTTATAGATTCTCACTGTGAGCCCTGCCAAATTCCCAGGAAAGCAAAAGAACAATTAAGCTGAAAATTATTAAAGAATAAAATTTGCCCATGACACAGTGTGATATTTTCCCCAATTTTTCCTGTGTAGAAACCAACAGGAACCATGTTTATACAGCAGCTTCAAGCAATCACTCCACATAAGGGAGGTACAAAAGGACCAGACCAGTAAAACCCAGTGTGAGTAAATCTGCGAGGTGTGTTAGCTAGTTCGTGTGCTAGTTCCTCTGTGCCACAGCCTCTGGGAGCAGCAGTCACTCAGAAAATTTTAAGTGGGAAGGGAAGAGATAAAGCTAAAGAAGCACCCACTGATTTCTGTGGATACAGTCAAAGCCAGGCAAAGCCCTTGTGCTTTGGAGTTGGGCTAATCTAACACTTCAAAGTGCCAAAGTGAAGCAAATCCCTTTGATTATATCAAAATTTAAGGTTTGTTCTCTTGTGGGTTTATTTTTTCTCCTTTATTTTTAGTTGAAAAAAGCTTTTGAAGCTCGATGAAGCTTCATAAAAGTTGCTGTAGAGTTCAGGGTTTTTATTAATCTTTCAATAAATAATCACCATACTATAATACAGTGGAATGGAATTCATTCAGTGGTATGTAAGTTACCTAAATTTTGCATATGTTGACTATTTAGGCAAAATATATCAAAACTTGATTATCATTAAATAGAAATACATAGTTCTAGATATTTAACTTTTAGATATTAGTGAGATCTGAAAAGTCATAATTCTCATATGTATAGACAAAAAATTTGCCACAAACTTTGAGAGTCTATCTTGTGAAAAATACTGTTAATCTATATACTTGTTAGCTATTTATGTACTAAATAGCTTATATTAGGAATTAGCTGCTACAAGCAAGTCTTAATCCTTGTTCCCCTACAGAGAAAGTATTTTTCATTCTCAGTGGCTTAATGGCACATAGTGTCACACACTTGTAGGATTTTGACACTCAGTTTAAACTAAATTTTGTTTAAACATACTGTGTCTCTATGATTTACCAAGGTACTGAAATTGCTGCAGCTTTCAGGAAGGAAAGGCAAGTCAAGCATACATCCTGATAAAATAGTAATGTTCTGTCATTCACTGCATTTCTGTAACAGGTTGGTAATAGTTTCTCCATTCAGATAGTAGTTTATTCAAAATGGCAGTGGAGATATCTGCTAATCTCTGCTAAGGAAATCACAGCAAAACTTACAAAGGCGTATCTATTTTTAACTTAAAGTGTACACATAGACACAGTTTCTCATTGCCTTTGTAAAAATAATAGATGGATACATCTATAATGAAATCCAGGCATGCACTGAATTTATTTTCTTCACATTATGTCTTTTTTGAATTATAAATCACTTTAGTGGATGGAGATAAAAATTGCCCATATGTTGTACGCTGGCTCCTTACAGAACTAACTTTTTGTATTAGAATAAAGAATTAACTTCTTTTGTATTCAACTGTTTTACTAATGAAATTAATTGGATTCAATTTCATCGAACAAAAACTGCAAACATAAAATTCACATTTAACATATTTTCCACCTCAAAAGAATCTCTTGGAAAAAGAACAGTTGCAGACAGAAAAATGCATCATTTAACTGATTCATCAGCCTGACAGTTCTGTTCAGCTTCCAGCTGTAATCTCACAAAGTTTAGCTGTGAATGCAATTTCATCCAGTTAATACTCCTTCCTAATCTGGTTGGTAGAAAAGTACAGTCAGTGCCCGTATTTTTATGCTTGATTTCTCCTGCAGTTGCACCAATATGAATCAATTATTGACGAAAATATTTGGGTGTCTGAGAGATCACAAAAGAGCACGCAAGCTTCTGCAACACACCACACCAACCTTGGGACCAACCACTCCAATCCCCCTTGTCCCCAGGGCCCCAGGATAGCCTCTTATTCCATGGTCTCCCTGAAAATAGTCACAGAAATATTAGTGATTTATCACCTATTATCTGTTACATCTTTTGTCCACTTATGAAGCAGTCAGTCAAAGCACTAAGTTGAAAACAACAATTATTATATACAAACAGTTGCTTTTCAGGTAGACATACAAAAAAAAACCCAAAATGCAGGCACACACATTATTGAAGCTCTAGGTGAAGAACATTGTTCCCCAAGCAAAGGTCCATGTGATCAAAGTCACCAACAGAGTTAAGACTATCTTGCAATCTTATCTGCTACAGAAGAAAAAAAAAGGGAACTCATCTAGAAACACCATTTTTTCAATCCATTCTGCTGGGCCTTACCAGGATGGACAGGGAGATTACACAACAGCGATCATGGCCTTTATGGATACGGCGCTTGTTCTAAAACTAGAGACATTTAATTTCCAGAACTGCCAAACTAATGTGTTTATGAAAACTAAATGAATTTAAATAACATTGATATAGAACAGAAAGAACATCCCTTTGTTTATTTTTTTATAAAGCCTTAGTGCTTATATGTTTGGCTTGACTTCTTGAGGAAATGAAGCTTAAATGATACTCCGGCAGTGTTTCTGCTTGTCTGTGTTGGTCTTCTTTCTCTCCCAGTGTAATCTGAACTCATCAATTGATTTCAGCCCAATTCATCAGAAATTTAGAGCCCTTCAGCATGTCAATTTTTGACAGTTTTGGTGATAACTGGAGGCTGGGTAAAGGAGAGAGATTCAATTGATGCTTTTAGTGGGGAAAAACAAAACCAGAGAGGACTCACGCCTTAACCAGCAGGCAGACAGAAGGCAGCAGCTGGCTGACCAGGAGGAATGAGGGTAACACTGAGCCTGGCACTGCATGCTGCAGACAAGTCCAATGAAGGACGTAGGTGTCAGGGGACATTCCTGGTAGGGGGAAGGCCCAGGGACATAAGAGGCAGTTTTGTTTTCCTCAGTACATGATTGTACAAATGAGGGAATAGCACACATTCAGCACATAATCACTAGAAAACTCAGTTTTAAAAGAAAAATCTGCAATGAGCAAGTTATAGATGCAGAAAATTCTGAATCAATTTTAGCAAGTGTCCCTAAAACTATGCCTGTGCAGGCAAGTGCAAAAGAATGAAGAGTTCTGATAAGCTATTGATCATTTAATAGCTGTATTAGCAACAGAACCAAGAAGAATTGACAAAATAATAAATTTCATTATAAAAACTCTTCATTGTACGTATTTTTGCACTCAGAAAACCTGAGCCTGCAGAGGGAGCGTTCTAACTAGGAGAGAGGTGCAAATATGAATCACACACATCACACACTAGAGTTGTGGTAGGTGAAAAGAAACCACATACCAAACTGATTGAAAAGGAAGGAAACAAATTACAGAATCTTTCACTGACTTCCTTTTCTTTCCAGGAGGAATGTGTGCAGTCATTTTAATGACTCCTTTAAGTGAAATGCCCAAGGCTCAGTCTTCAGCAAGAGATCACTCAAATTTTTGCTTTTCATATACACTATGTTATGCTCATGATATCTCCTATTTATATAAATATAGTGTGACCCAAACTATTCTCAGGTTTGACGGAGTTGGAGAGGTTGGAGCTCTGAATCCAAAGGCTAAGGTTTAGACTGAGATTATAATGCTTCCCTTCTTGATATAACATTTGGCTTCCGAATTCATATTCAATTCCTCTTTCTTCCAAAGCACTGGTGACTGGCCAATTTGAGTCAGGACATAGGCACAGTACACGGACGGTCTTAGCTTTAGATTGGTGTGTCAAACCAATTGGGTTAAACGGATTGCCACTTTCAGTCGGGAGGAAATTTCTCCCTCAGACTTGATCAGAGAGCAGAGTTTGTTGGTTTTTGTCTAGTCTGATTTGGAAAACAGAATTAAAGCGAGAACTACTCTCCTTTATAGTGTTCTTTTTCTTCCAATGACCTTCCTTGCTAATATGAAGAGAAAAGATATTAGCAATGCCCTTGAACTTTTTGCCTTTTCCACCCCCACCCCCAAATTCTAGCTATAAACACTTCAAGAGTACAATTTTAAGAACATCCCTCTCTGCAGTGGGATGAATGGTAGATATCCCTGCCCAACTTCTCATTAAAACATGCCTGGTTTCTCAGTTCCTCCTGCAATGCATTTTCTTGCCATTACCTTGAGATTGTCACATTATTAAGAAATACTGAGAGTCTATGTAGTAGTCTTCCTACTTAGTACCATCAGTTATCAAAGGAATAATTATTGGTCCTCAATGTTCCCTCAAACCATAACACAACCTTAAGCTCTTTGTAGGAGAACTCTTCATGAGTAGCAATTGCACCAAAGCTTTCCCTGCCCAAGCCTCCCTGTACACCTGCCAGAGGTGGCAGGCCTAAGAGGTAGATATTGAGATAAGACTTAGCAGTACAAGGGCTTTTTTAGGAGATTCTGGGTTGCTGTGGTCTGTGGAACAGCCTGTAAGCTGCTGTGATGGAAGCTGAATGGGAGGTTACCAAACAAGTAAATGATTCCTTATGGTCCAGTATCCAGTATACCTACAATCTGCCTCTTAGACCAGCCCTGACCAGAAAGAGTGTAAGGGTGACTTGAAGGCTTCTGCCTCTTCCTCCCATGGGTAACACATTCTTACTTGGGGTTGTTGCAGGTGAAGGATAGAATTTTAGCCTCACATGCTTAGTTAATACCAGATGTCTCAATGAAAAGCTCTTTTGTAGGGCTTTACAGTAATCCTCAAAGTTTCCGTATTTCTTGGCTTAGAGAAAAAGGGTTTCAGTTTGCTTTATGAGTTGTGAAGTGGAGCAATTGTTTTCTCTAAGGTGTGACACTAAACTGTCCTTCAGAGAATTTGTTTCAAGAAGGATTAGTACTGATCTTTGATGAGGTCTAATTTATTTTCTGTACTGTGCTTGCAGACAAGCTTGTCACCATCAGCAAAATGGTAAACTAGAAAAACACCACTGAAACAAGAAATAAAAAGCTGAGTCAGACAGTATAAAGTATGGGATTCTAATGTCTATTCTGTACTATTTGTTCAATAAAGTTCATTAAATGACCTAAGGGTCACCTGAAAAAAAAAATCTTGGCTTCCAAATATACACTTCATTTGTGAATCATGTGTATTTGATGCTGAAACATGCAACCAACGCTGCAATACTCTCTTTAGTGTGAACTAGTGGATATAATGAAATCTGTAAGAAAATACATAAGAAAAAAAAGACATTGCATCTTTACTTTCCACATTTTAGTTCAAATAGACAGGGCACAAGCTGCAAGAAAAGTTGTTTATATTGCAACTGGATACAGCCCAAATGTTCATGCACTAGGGATTACGCTAGGGATTTTAATAATCCTTCTGCTATCCAGTTACTGAGAATGAAGCTTGCTTTATTTCTAGTGCTGGGCTATTGCTCTTGAATGCCTGTAACCCATCCCCCAGTTGGGAGACATGCTATTAAATCAAATTTTTATTATATTCTGACATTATATGCTTCTGTTTTAATGCTATGGAAAGCAGGGTGCTGTCACGATTGAATGTGTCCCACATGTTCCAATTTTGTTTTCATGTAAATTTGACCTCTGATACATAAAATTCCTATCTAGCAGTGTGCACATATGTGAGCCATTTCAGAAAGCAGGGAGAACAGAGCTCTGATTCAGCTGAGTGGAACATTCCTATATAATGATCCTCAAAGGATTTCAAATTAACTAGTGTGCAACTTTATGAGTCTCTTATCAAATAAATGTTTGGTTTTATATGCAGAGATTGCTCCTGTTCTTATATTCACTTTTATGTGGAAGGGAAGAGAGGTAGCCAGTGCACTTAGATTTTATTTGAAAAAACGTAAGATTGTCCATTTTATGAACTAAATTCCAGGGGAATTGTAATTCAACTGAATTGTTTTTTCTTGTGGCATCTTTGCTACAAAGAAGTTAAGTAGAGACTAAGGATTCAAAACTTTGTATAAGGAAACAGAAGCAAAAAATCAGGGAGGAAGAAGAGATATTTATACAGTTTCTTTTTTTCCAGTGTGCTCTATACCATGTCAAGTGTAGATGTACAAAACTAAATCACAGATGTGACTATCTGTTTGGATAGTGCATGCTTTGGTGTAGCAGTCACACACTGCAAAAGCTGCAGCTGCAAACCATTGGTGGAAGCAATATGCATTTTCCCTCATAGGATTAATACACCAGTCTGGGTGCATGATAAGAAAGAAACCCATTTAGAAGTAAAAAATGCAAATCAGATTTTTATCAGATGGTTTTACTTTTTTTTTTTTTTTTTTGTCTTCTGACAGAGACTGTTAGGTAAGCACTTACCTGAGCAGCCAGATTTGATGGGTAATATCACACTGAAACACAATTAAACCTGCAAGCAAAACTTTTCATACAAGACCTAATGGGAGCATGATTTGCTCTAATTGTGTTGTATTACTTCCCAAAACCCTATGCTACTCTAGAGTGTTCTTCATAACAAGGTGCCACTTCTCCATAACCCATGGATATGGTGCATTCTGACATGGGTATGGTGCAGTATACCTCATGACTGGTTATTACGAATAGAAACCTCAGCTTGATAAGCAATTTCCAATTCTATGTGTCCAAAACCAAATAGTGCTACAGGCCCAACAGCGGTGCGTTCGCAGCCTGATGTTTATACTACATGCAATGTGAGGAAACTTACCTGGTCTACTCCTCTGGACTGATCACCCACTGCGGTAGAAGTACATTCAGAGTACAACTCATTTCAACTGGCTGTGATTTACGTCAGTTAGAGCCAAAAGTGAAAACTGTAAGTACTATAATGGCTAGTTCATGATTTAATTATAGTTAATTATAATATGCTATTATATCACGAGGCCTACAGTGGTTTAAGAATAACCGTGATAAAAAGACTAGACTCCACAATCTCCACTTCAAAAACGATGTCTTTTCCTTTACTTTACAGCTTTTACCTCCTGCATTTTATGATACCATATTGTACTTCCATTGTTGATGATCTAGGTCAGAATTTTCCCAATAATTATACAGCTGAAGTATTGCTTGTCTCTACAAACACATGAATTCATGATTATAACGCAAAAGGGACTTGTGACACACTTTTTGATCTCTCATATAAGCCAGGCATTATGATTTATCTAAACTAAAACTAATTTTAGATGAAGGTTTATAGTCTTCTCTTAGGTCCGTTTCTAGGAACTTTAAAAATCACTCACTAGTTTCATGTAACCAACATTTTCCTTGAGTCCCTTGGAGTCTGTGGGAGACAGGAAGTGCATAATTATAAGACAATACTCTGCCTGTGTTGGATTCTGACTTCCACACAGAAACTCCCACATTTTGAAACATCCTGGGTCTTTGGATTTATGGCAAACCTGCAGATTTGCTTGAAATCTGGGGATAAAGCAAGAACTGATTTCTATCTATCATAGCAGAAAAGTCTATCACAAACTTTTCCTTTAACTGAAACAGAAAATGGGAGATAAGATCACAGCATTTTTTCATAAATGTAGCATTCTAATCTAATGCATTTTTTAAAAGTTGTTTGTCTACCTTGTCTACTAATCAGATGCATCTACTATCTTTGTACACGTACCTTTGGTCCAGGATCTCCCAAGCCTTTTGGGCCTGCTGGTCCTGGGGGGTGTGCTGGTCCTGGAGGTCCCTGGTACAGCAGAGGAATAAAACACGTCAATAGTTGTCCTAAAGGAAGAATATTCGTGTTCTTCAACAAAGGAAATAATTTCAGCAATAGTTACTAATCTCTTTGGTTTTGCTGTATTTTGTCAAATTCGTCACATTTACAATGTGTACTGAGCAACAGTTATCCTCCGTCCCAGGTGGAAACCTGAAAAGACTACCAGAGTAGTATAAAAAATGTCCAGCTCTTCACTTAAGACCATTGGAGTTGTTCTCAGCAAAAAGGTACCAGTGAGAAAGCAGATATTGCTTCATGATTCATACACTGCAGATATGACAATCTGAAATACCAGAGTTAAGCCATCTAAATTTGGGAGTGAGGTAACTCTAACATGCTTTGATGTATTTCTGTTTGACAATCTTTTCTCCTAAAGTCACTAATCAATTCATCATAGCTCATACATCTGCCTTTCATACTGCTGGATGCATCCACAGCCTCTCTTTTATCATTCATAGGGCAGATGTCTTTTCCCCATCATGCTACAGAGACCTAGGTACACAAGTCTTGTCCATGTCTGCTGGTGGTTTATAAAGTTGGTCTTTACAGATTATGGGGCATGGAAAGGCAGCAGAGAAGGGGAAAATGTGAATGCTAGAGCAGAACAGAACCTTCACACATTTCAAGGGTGTGTATTCATGTGGCAGGGAGAAACACAACCAGCTTTACTGAAGCCTGAGATTGAGTAGCAGAGAAGCATGATTCTTGCAGCAGTTGCAGATGGGATTCCTAGAACAGACATGATTTCAGGAATACTATTGCACAGCAAAGCTTGCTTTTTTTTTTTCCCCCTTTTTTAATTGCCTAGGCACTAATAGAAATGCAGGAAGTGCAAAAGTGCAAGTTTGTCGTCTTGTGACTGGGCAGACTACAACTAGCTTTTGTGCTCTTAATCACTTTAATCAGTGGTTACCAAACCAGGCTTCTCTTCAGTTCTCTGATTAATTAAAAATGAAAAGTTTTCAGCTTCTCACTGACCTCTTTGATTTTGTATCTACCAATACTTTTATTTTATTTTTTTTTTCCATATAGTTTAAACAGGTATCTTTTAAAGCTTAAAACTTCACTTCCTACGAGGCATTTTAAGGACTACTAAAAGTTTGTCAGTCTTCTAGTTGCATCAATGTCTTCTTCATGATTGCCTTTGCATTTCCTTTTTATTTTCATTTGGGATGGCACGTTTTCATGTGCTCTCTTTAATGGGTCTGGGTTTGTTAATGGCACTCCTTGACCCTCCAGGGAGTCTTGAGCTGGTCTAGTGTCCCTGTGTGCTGTGAAATATATCAGGTACGTAGTGTTACACCAGGAATTCTGAGTGAATTCCCTCTGAACTAATTCTGATCCCAAAGGCCCTTCCCAGGATCAGTTTGAATGATAGAAATTGGAACTGAGACGTGACTTACTTGGAAGCACTCAGGTCTCACCTTAGTGTACTTGTGAATGCCTTTGTGGTTGTAGTTTGAAATAAAGCTGGATTGCAGGCATAAAGAATATAGTGCTAATGGAAGTTTGATGTGGAGCTTGAGGGATGTCAACAATATTTTCACTTCCTAGTGAAAGGTTGGTGAAACATGTCTGTGTGTCTTTGGGTGACTGAAATTTAGGGTAATATGCCCTTGTGTCAGGTGGAATGTGCAGGTATTGCCATCCTCTGGAGATCACTATCAGAAAAGCCAGGTGGTGCTGGGGGGCAAATCTTCAACAAAGAGGATTTAACCCCCCCAGTATGAAAAGCAGCTGAAACCCAAAGGAACTGAAGGCTGCAAAATTTGGCCAAGCAGATGTTATTAGAGATCTTGATCAAAGAACAGTAAAGAAGAATAAAAAGGGAAGAAAGGAAAATAATTCAGAGCAGTGATTATATTAAACATACATGAGCAGCCATGAAGATTTTCATGGAATTACATGGTATCCTTTTCAGGATGCTGAAATGAGAACTTTGTATCCAGTTTCAACTGCCTGTAGAACTGGCACTGTATCTGGGACAGGAAAGAAAGGACTTCAAAATATGTATGAAATATTTATGTTAGCTAAAGGATGAAAGAGCTTAGTTGCACTTAGAATCATAGAATCATAGAATCGTTAGGTTTGGAAAGGACCTTAAAATCATCTAGTTCCAACCCCCCTGCCACGGGCAGGGACACCTTAACGCTAAATCATATCACCCAAGGCCTCGTCCAACCTGGTCTTGAACACTGCCAGGGATGGAGCAGTCACAGCCTCCCTGGGCAACCCATTCCAGTGCCTCCCCACCCTTACAGTAAAGAACTTCTTCCTTATATCCAATCCAAACTTCCCCTGTTTAAGTTTGAACCTGTTACCTCTTGTCCTATCACTACAGTCCCTAATGAAGAGTCCCTCCCCAGCATCCCTATAGGCCCCCTTCAGATACTGGAAGGCTGCCATGAGGTCTCCACACAGCCTTCTCTTCTCCAGGCTGAACAGCCCCAACTTTCTCAGCCTGTGTTCATACAGGAGGTGCTCCAGTCCCCTGTGATCATCCTCGTGGCCCTCCTCTGCACTTGTTCCAACAGTTCTATGTCCTTCTTATGTTGAGGACCCCAGAACTGCACACAATACTCCAGGTGAGGTCTCACAAGAGCAGAGTAGAGGGGCAGGATCACCTCCTTCGACCTGCTGGTAACGCTCCTTTTGATGCAGCCCAGGATACGGTTGGCTTTCTGGGCTGCAAGTGCACACTGAAGCTGGTTCATGTTCACTTACTTAAGTAAATATTGAATTATCAACCAATTTTTTTTTTTTTTTAATAGAACACAAAGTACAGAATTAAAATTGTACTTACAGCTTCGCCTTTGTGGCCATCACCTTTTTCTCCACGGGGTGCAGGTACTCCAGGTAGTCCCTGGTTACCCTAAATACAAAATGTAAGTCAGGCACCATGCCAGTAAGTGGATCATCATGACATAACAAATATTAACAAATATGCCAGGAAAATATTTTGTATCCTTTTGGAAATACAGAATAGCAGTTACCAGCTCTTGCAATTTGTTCATAAAGCTCAGATTTTTTTTTGTGCTTTTTTATTGTAGCTTCAGTTGATCAAATTCAAATTTCTGAAGAATCGTAGTTCTCATTAGAACATTATTAATTGTTAGATTTTTAGTTGCAGAGAGAAATCTTCAGAACATTGACTGCATCTTCAGCCAATACAAAGGTAAATTTAGAAAGTTGAACTTTTATGACTTTGAGGCTAAGTCCTGACATTTGAACAAGACATTTAACAATACTATAACATAATATGACAGCCTTAAGTTATCATATGCGCATTTTTGCACTTCCATGAAATCACATTGATTCTTTCACACAGTATAGCAAAACTGCCTTCTACAAAGAAGTAAAAGAAAGAACAACCGGTTATGAAAAATACATAATTTCTTTTAGTTTAGCCTAAAATCCTCTGTATCAGGACACAGTCATTCCATGACTCTTCCACTGACTTCCACTAAAGATTTGCGCATTTGCAAAACCTCAGTGCTTCCTTTCACAACCAGAAGAGAAACAAATAGGAATCTTTTCCCTCATTCCAGTGATCATTTTCCTGACATTTAATGAGAAAATTAACTGAGCCTGCAATAGACTATTCTTCACAGAACCAAGACAGAAAACATACTACTTTGAGGTACCCCTGAAGATATACTGGCAGTTGGTACTGTAGATGTTCACATGACAGCACCAGAAATCCTTACTGATACTTGTAGGTCACACATCCTCCCCATTCCTAAGCATGGTATACATAAGGCCATACAAGAAGTGTACACCCTTTACTCAGTCCCACAGAATAAAGAAAAGTAAATGGACTCTCCAGTAGAGTGTTGGAGGGTCAGTTGTTAATATACATACAGATAACATATCCTGAAGAATCATTACATACAAATAGCAAATATTTCCCTGACTACTCCAGTAAAAATAATATCTAGAAAAACGAAACTACAAATGACAGAAATCTGCTGTTTCATCTGTGCATTGTGCCAGGAAATTTCTGCAATAACATAATGCTTCAAGAAACCACAGATGGAGTCCTAGTAGCAGCTCAGACTCCACCATAGACGCAAGCAATCAGATCTTCCTAACCAATTTAACCCTGGCAAGGAAAATGAAAGAGCTGCTTTGGCTCTCCTAAAGACACACATCACAGGTTTAGATTAGGAGGTATGTGAATGCAGAAAGACAAGGTAGAATCATAGAATCATGGAATAGTTAGGGTTGGAAAGGACCTTAAGATCATCTAGTTCCAACCCCCCTGCAGGGACACCTCACACTAAACCATGTCACCCAAGGCTTCGACCAACCTGGCCTTGAACACTGCCAGGGATGGAGCATTCACAACCTCCCTGGGCAACCCATTCCAGTGCCTCACCACCCTTACAGTAATGAACTTCTTCCTTATATCCAATCCAAACTTCCCCTGTTTAAGTTTGAACCTGTTACCTCTTGTCCTGTCACTACAGTCCCTAATGAAGAGTCTCTCCCCAGCATCCCTATAGCCCCCCTTCAGATACTGGAAGGCTGCTATGAGGTCTCCACGCTGCCTTCTCTTCTCCAGGCTGAACAGCCCCAGCTTTCTCAGCCTATCTTCATACAGGAGGTGCTCCAGTCCTCTGATCATCCTCGAGGTCCTCCTCTGCACTTGTTCCAACATTTCCATGTCCTTTTTATGTTGAGGACACCAGAACTGCACACAATACTCCAGGTGAGGTCTCATGAGAGCAGAGTAAAGGGGCAGGATCACCTCCTTCGACCTGCTGGTCACGCTCCTTTTGATGCAGCCCAGGATACGGTTGGCTTTCTGGGCTGCGAGCGCACACTGAAGCCGGCTCATGTTCATTTTCTCATCAACCAACACCCCCAAATCCTTCTCTTTAGGGCTGCTCTGAATCTCTTCTCTGCCCAACCTGTACCTGTGCCTGAGATTGCTCCGACCCAGGTGTAGCACCTTGCACTTGGCATGGTTAAACTTCATGAGGTTGGCATCAGCCCACCTCACAAGCGTGTCAAGGTCCCTCTGGATGGCATTCCTTCCCTCCAGCGTATCAACCAAACCACACAGCTTGGTGTCATTGGCAAACTTGCTGAGGGCGCACTCAGCACTGTCCACATCAGCAACAAAGATGTTGAACAAGACCGGTCCCAGCACCGATCCCTGAGGGACACCACTCATTACTGGTCTCCAGCTGGACACCGAGCCATTGACCACATCTTTGCATGCGGCCATCCAGCCAGTTCTTTATCCACCGAGTGGTCCATCCATTAAATTGATGTCTCTCCAATTTAGAGACAAGGGTGTCGTGTAGGACAGTGTTGAATGCTTTGCACAAGTCCAGGTAGATGACATCAACTGCTCTACCCCTGTCCATCAGTTCTGTAGCCCCATCATAGAAGGCCACCAAATTGGTCAGGCAGGATTTCCCCTTAGTGAAGCCATGCTGGCTGTCACCAAGCACCTTGTTGTTTTTCATGTGCCTTAGCATGCCTTCCAGGAGAATCTGCCCCAAGATTTTGCCAGATACAGAGGTGAGACTGACTGGTCTGTAATTCCCCGGGTCATCCATTTTCCCCTTCTTGAAAATGGGGGTTATATTTCCCTTTTTCCAGTCATCAGGAACTTCACCTGACTGCCATGATTTTTCAAATATGATGGACAGTGGCTTCGCAACTTCATTCACCAGCTCCTTCAGGACCCACAGATGGATTTCATCAGGACCATGGACTTGTGTATGTTCAGGTTTTTAAGATGGTCTTGAACCAGATCCCCTCCTACAGTGGGCCCAAGGTCTTCATTCTCACAGTCCTTGTGTCTGCCTTCCAGGACTTGGGTGGTTTGGTCAGAGCTTTTGCCAGTGAAGACCGAGGCAAAGAAGTCATTCAGAACCTCAGCCTTCTTCAAATTCAGGGTAGCCAGTTCTCCCGATAACTTCCGGAGGGGGCCTACATTGTCCCTAGTCTGTTTTTTATTTGACTATGTACCTATAGAATCCCTTCCTGTTATCCTTAATATCCCTAGCCTAGTTTAATTCTAACTGGGCCTTAGCTTTCCTAACCTGGTCCCTAGCTTCCTGGACAACACCCCTGTACTCTTCCCACGCTTCCTGTCCTTGCTTCCACCTTTTATAAGTCTCCTTTTTCCTTTGAATTTTTCTCAGCAGCCCATTATCCATCCAAGGAGGTCTCTTGGCCCTTCTGCTGCACTTCCTTCTGGTTGGGATGCAACACTCCTGAGCTTGCAGCAGGTGATCCTTGAATATCAACCAACAGTCTTGGGCCCCCCTGCTCTCTAGTGCTATATTCCATGGAACCTTACTAAGCAGGTTCCTGAAGAGGGCAAAGTCTGCTCTTTTGAAGTCCAGGGCAGTGAGCTTGCTGCACGCTCTTCTCACTGTCCTGAGGATCTCGAACTCAACCATCTCATGATCACTGCATCCAAGGCTGCCCTGAAGCATCACATTTCTGACTAGCCCTTCCCTGTTGGTGAGCACGAGATCAAGCATGGCACCTCTCCTTGTCGGCTCCTCTATTACTTGAAGAAGGAAGTTCTCTTCCACACAATCGAGGAACCTCCTGGATTGCTTGTGCTGGGCCGTACCGTCGCTCCAACAGATGTCAGGGTGGTTGAAATCACTCATGAGAACAAGGGCCTGCGAGCATGAGGCTTCCCCTATCTGTCTATGGAGTGCTTCATCCGCAGGTTCTCCTTGATCAGGCGGTCTGTAACAGATGCCCACAGTAATGTCCCCCATAGCTGTTCTCCCTTTAACCCTGACCCACAAACTCTCTGTGGACTGCTCACCTGTCCCCAGACAGAGTTCCATACTCTTCAGCCTATCCCTAACATAAAGGGCAACTCCCCCTCCCGCCTGCCAGGCCTGTCCTTCCTAAAGAGCCTGTCACCTTCCATTCCAACACTCCAGTCGTAGGAGCCATCCCACCATGTTTCTGTGATGCCTATTATATCATACCCCCGTAGACGTGCACACATCTCTAATTCCTCTTGTTTGTTCCCCATGTTACAGGTGTTTGTATAGAGGCATCTGAGCCGAGCTCCAAATGAAGCCGGCTCATTGGCTGGAGCAGCTGGAATATCTCTACATTGCTCCGAGCATTTATTATAGGTGCTGGCAACTGACTGGGTGTGTTGGGATGGAACGATGCCCCCCTCCCCCAACACATCTGGTAAACTCAGTGTTCTGGTTAAGATGAAACCCTGAAACCACTTTAAGATGAAAATTGTGATAGGGATACAAGCATGCCTTATGCTTTAAGAAAATTGTACACGGTAGGTCACTCCTGTATGAATTTCACCTATTCTCCTGTCCAAAAAGATAGTTTCTCTGGAAGACTTTAAACTCAACCTGACTATCAGAGTCAAACTGCATTAGCCAAAGAATATTTTTCTTCATGTTCCTTAATTTTCAAATGATGTAATTCTGATCCAGTTCTGTGAAAATTTAAACAATGAGTGTGCTTCTAGTTCATAAATATCTTTATAATGGAAAGTAATTTTTACCTCTTCCTTGTCCTTAATATCCATAGTTCTTAAACTAAGGATAAAATAACAAAGATTTTAGAAATGTTTTTGTAAATAAGAAAGGAAACCATGGAACATGAGTTCATCTCTATTTTTACTTCTAATTCCACTACAGTAAAAAACTGCCAAACAGATGTTTTCATTTAATCATAGCAGACTGTCGTAAATGCCCAATACCCGTTAACAAATTCTTTAAGAATTGGGATTTTTTGAAGAGGCTGGTTTTGTCATTAGTAACATCTATAAATCTATTTAAGTCAAATCTATGGCCAAGTCTACTGTACAAACATTTCTCTAAGTCACAGAATCGTAGAATGGTTTGGGTTGAAAGGGACTTTAAAGCTCATCTAGTTCCAGCCCTCCTGCCATGGGCAGGGACACCTCACACTACGCCAGGTTGCTCAAAGCCTCATCCAACCTGGACTAATTATTTAGCTTTAGTCCAGGTTATTTAGATTTTATTTTTTAATAGCTGCATGAAGAATATACAAGATATGTCCCAGGGGCAGTTCTGTGACTGCTGTTTTCCAGAGTTTTGTGGGGTCTGGAAAAGGCAATCACTGTGACTCGCTCTAAGGCAGTTTGCTGGCAACAGGGCAACTGCCATCAGTGTCACAGATGGCATCCTGAATTGATCTACTTGGGCAAACTTTCCAAGGAATACTATAGAGAAAATTGCTTCTACACTCTTTCAAATGAGAGAGAAAGAAAAAGAAAGAAAGAAAGAGAGAAAGAGAGAAAGAAAGAAAGAAAGAAAGAAAGAAAGAAAGAAAGAAAGAAAGAAAGAAAGAAAGAAAGAAAGAAAGAAAGAAAGAAAGAAAGAAAGATAAAGGAAAGAAGAAAGGAAGGAAGGAAGGAAAGAAAAGAAAGAAAGAGAAAGAAAGAGAACAAAAGAAAGAAAGAAGATAGAAAGAGAGAAAGAAAGACTATAAACATAAATGTCTCCACGGTTATTGTTACAAAAAAATAATTACTGACATAATCAAAACCTAAAGGATTAGGTATGACTAGACAAATAGTCATGTTCATCACTTCTTTTTATAAGAAAAAGAGTGAAGTAGCATTCTAGATTATAGACAAATTAAATTAATTTAGAGTTTCTCAAAATTCAAAAATACAAGCTACTGAATGCACACGGATCAATGTGTTATCCAGCATCCTCTGGTAGGTATACTTGCAGTAGTCTGTCAAGCCAGGAGTAAAGCATTATTGGTATCCCTAAGCTGTTATCACACAGAAGTTATTGCATTAAGTTTTATTTTGAACTACATTGTGTTAGGTGCACATAGACTAATTGGTCTCTGAATTTGGGTCTATCAACTATGTTCCCAAGAAGTGAAACAGTGGAATTTAGTGGAACATTTTATGTGCAGACATAGTAAAACTAAAAAAGAAGGTTCCTGATTTCAGTCTGCAAAGAAGATCACAAGAATGGCACCTTTCTCAAACACTGAAGGAAGTCTTCCTGAACTATTCCTTATCACAAGTGGCAGAAGGCTTCTAGAAAGTTTCAGACCAGACTATGTATTAAATGTATTAAAGGTGAAGCAGAGAAAGCTGCAAAGTAAAAGGATATATACCCAGGTTTTGCAGTAGAGGACATGGGATCTGTTCAAGGAACTGTTTTTTGAGTTCTTAAATAGTGTAGAAAGCTGCATAGCACTGTTTTCTAATAAAACCATATTATTCTGATTACTTAAATGAAAGCAATTTCAAGGACTTGAGGAAAGACCCTACTTAAGATTTTGAGTAATTTGGTGACAAAATGTCAGACAAAATTCTACTCTGATAACTGTAATACATTATGCAAGGAGAAACAGCAGTCATACTGAACTAGTATTGCCACTTAAGAAACAGAAGAGATAGAACCAGTCATTAAAAAGGTCACTTCACTGTTAAACAATGATAAAACCACGTAAATGTCATCCTTTGCAAATTAATCTATACCCTTTTCCTCTAACTTATTTCCCACTGGCAAGAGGATGATCCTTGGTTTCACCTTATTCTTCAAGAAGCCTTAAGTCAACTCGTGTACTGCAGCGAATTTTTCTGTCTCTCACTTTTGCAAAGACTGCAATCTCTGTGTATCACTGAATCCTCGACTTTCACTTTAGTTAACCACTAAAGGCTCAAAAACAGTGAGCACAGCAATCCTGCCACAGACTGCTGTAGTCTATTCTTGGTGTTGAAGTTAAAAATGTAAATGATATAACCAAGTAAATCCTATTCTGAAACCTATATGCAAATAAGTATCTCCAAAAGACCTATTTTTAATTTTTTTTTATTTTGGGCCTTGCTTATGTTTTTGCATGTGCACGGTTGCTAATACTAAAATGACACTATTAAAATAACTAATACCTCTCTTTTCATACTCACTAAAGAGCATATTGCCCATAGAGAGGTATAAAATACCACGTGAGATAATGAAAGTGGAGATGAATTTGAGGAACTACCTTCCTAATGAAGACTTCCTGAGGGAAATTTGCAGGGTGAGGTACACTGGACTAGCTATTTTATCTTTTTTGTGTTTCTTCTTTGAAATGATAGCAAGTTTGTATTAAAAAAGAGATGCAAACTGGAATTATGTCAAAATTGAAGAATTAGTTATTTTCTCAAAAATGTTGCTCATGTGGTTTTTGCATATTCACAAGAGTTTTTCATGTGTCTCATGTTTCTTTATTTTTCATATTTTGTCTAGAACTCCTATTGTTGGTCCCATTATTGAATTTCCAGGAAGTCCATCATCTCCCATCAGCCTGCTAGGACCTGGATCCCCCTATCAAAAAAGAAAAAAACCCCAAACCATATCCATTATTTTCAGTCTTAATTTACAAAATCTTACAGAAAAAAAGAAATATTTAACTCTCGCTGACAGTGACAATTATTGAGCTAGGTAATATGAAATCAGTATTTCTAAAGGAAGCTTTTAGTACCTTGATTCTGACCTCACACTTCTGCTTCTCTGCAACTGTGTCAATGAGTGTGTTCTGCTTTGATGAATGATTTGACAGCTTCAGTTTTCAAGTGAATGTTGACTAGCATAATTTAGTCTCTGTGGCCAGATTCACCTGTGGCTTCTGCCTGCTTTTGTCCTCCCAAGCAAGGCTGCATAACCTTGTTACTGTCAGAGCACAAAGAGAACAGCAAAGAAATTCAAAGACAAGTGCTTACACAGACTATGTTTAGAAAGATGCAAGTGTGCAGCACTTCGAAATTGTAAGCTCCACATGCTGAAGCCTCAGGAAGAAACTATTTTTTCCTCAAACACTACCTAGTACAACTGTTTGGTAATCTTAGCTCTATCAGTGGCTTTCCTGGAAGCAATCAGGCTTCAAATTCAAGTTCCTCATGTTATACCCCCCAGAGCAAAATCTTGCTCCTTAGTATTTAATCTATTGGCCAAAAATTTCTTACTTTATATTAAGGTTCTTAAAAAGAAAATTTTGATTTTTAATAAAAATTGCAATTTTTAACACTAGTGAGAAGGACAGGCAGCATTTCAAGAATCATTCACCAGGGAATGCAGATGAAATGTTCTATCAAAACCATCAAGCAGCTGTAACCATGAGAAAGGAATATGAGAAAAAACAGCTATCAAGTGTTACTGTCTCCACATTAGTAATAATGGCTGTCAAGGAAAATAGAACTCTAGTCTCCAAATGTGGGTGTTGCTTAAAATACATAAATTTCCAGTGAACACAACCATGGCTGTTCAGAAGTTGTCTAGCAACCCTTCACTGCTACATCAAATACTTAAGAGATGTAATAAAAAGACCTCAGACCATGATAACTCCCAGCTTTGAAAAACATGCGGATTCCCTGTATTAGAAATTCAGAATGTCTGACTTCACTACTGCAGATACTAGGATTTTCCAAGAACACAATTACTAGTAATCATTGCACTTTTCACAGTGGAAAGAGAAAACAGATCTCTTTAATCTGTTACATTATTGAGCGATTGTCGGAAACATAGCAGATACATGTTTAAACAAAGAAATTATTATGGAGCTAAAGAGACACAGTTTTGTCTATTTTCTAAAAATCAACTTGCATTTTAGAATTACCTGAAATACTTGCTTTCTTGCATCAGCCACTGCACATAAAGCCCCTCATCTAAAATTTAGTAGTGTGTGGAAAAACTCTACAGCCCCAGGGAATTTTTGATTGTGGTCAGCCTGCTATGAAAGGGATATGAATTATACTGAACACAACAAAATCAGAGTGAAAAAGGCAATAAAGTCAATAAAGTTCTTTTTTTCAGCACGCGTTTTATCAATAAATAATCTTGACTTCCATAATTGTCTATTTAAAAAAAATGTCAAAGTAACCATGAAAATGTGAAGACGGCAGACTGGTGTAGTCAAAACTATCTTCAGACAAGTTGTGTATTATAGCACACTACTTACATTTTCCTGACATAAAATTTGGTTGCATTTTTACTCCAGATGTACACTGAGCTTCTTATTCCCTTCTTCCTTCCTCCTCCATGCACAAGCAAGTCCAAACCACATTCCTGCCTCTGTGATGCCCTGTTGCAAGGCTCATGAGTACACTGTATGTATAATACCTACATGCGCTTGTGTGTGAGGGCATATGTATTTTTAAGGAAGAAGAAAAATGAGGACAAAATTATTCCAGAGCGATAGGATGCACATTAATGATTTCTCTATCCCAAAAATTATATATCAGCAAAACTGAAAACCATCAATTAAAGTTGAAGTAAATTGATGTATTTATACAAACAGCAACTATTTTATTCTTAAAATAAAAATGTGCTGGTAGTGAATTTTCAAACGTTTTGAAAACCTTCAGAGTTATATTTACTTTTGCTGAATCTTCATATTTTACTTAGCAGGACAACTCCCACTCATTTCAAGTACATTTTCCCCATGGAGAAAAGGAGATGGATGTAGCTCTAACTACCTCATATATGACACTGTATTTAAAGTAGTGTGTACCGGCCAGCTGTTCACTTGGAAGTGACATACAAACATTCATCCCCAAAAATTCATCTAGTTCAGCATATCTGGAACTATACATAGACACATTCCTGTAGGGATTTACTGCCACATTCAGGAAATCTTTGGTCTAAGAATCAAAATACAGAGTAAATTCAAACCAAACCAAACCAAAAAACAGGAAAAAAACTTCAAAGACAACAGAAATGTTATAAGGATTTATTTTTTTTTAACAAATGGATTCAGGAGGCAATAGCATGCACTAAGTTCAGCATCCTGTTACAGGGCTCACAAACACTCTGTGTTGATTTTTTGTATACCTTTCAGTCCTTATTTCTAAAATAATAATCAGTCATCTTTATTACTACAACAAGGAATTTTAACTTCTTTAACTTACATTCTTTTGAGAGGCATGTGCACTGGAAATTTTCCAGTCTCTGATCTCCAGCAAACAATCAGATAATCAATCACCTTTGGTCCAGGAGGTCCCCGAACAGATGATCCAGTGACACCAGGGAGTCCTTTCTCTCCCCGTTCACCCTGTTACAAAATTGCACCATCTAGATTTAAACAGTTTCATTTTCTGAACAAGTAGTAAAAAGTTTTGTCAACACCTCATATTATAAAAATATCCACAATATAGATCTACCTACAAATATTGGGAAAAAAACATAAATTAACTACTGTTCTTGTGAAAGCCTGTCTACGCTTCTTGTTTAAGTAACTATTGGTTGAACTGTGTATTTGTTTTTTTAACTTGTATTAATGTTTTGTGCCCGGCTTACAAAGCCAATGCAATAACCAGAACAGATGCATTATTTCAATTTCATTATCATACAGAGTGACACTCACAAAATATGATAATAGCAAATTAATGTTTCAAAGTAAAAAATTGCAAAATGCTCATAGAATCATTTGGACAACTTTAATTTAGTTTCTCGGTCCTCATGCATAACTACAAGGTCTGCGAGTCTATGTTTACCTACTCTTTTTCTCCTTGGGATTTTTGTATCATTCAGGACAGGGGACAAAAATATTTCTGCTTTTCCTTTTTTCTGCTAAGTCTCCAAGCACCCGATGCTTAAGAAATCTGTGCATTACATGAATTCCATACATCCTTTTATAAAATACAAAGTGAAAGAACAAGCTTACTTTTGATCCAGCTGGGCCTTCTGCTCCTTTAGAACCAGTCAGTCCTTGGGATCCTTTTTCTCTAGGGTCACCCTGAGGAAAACAAACCTTTATCAATCATAGCCAAGATTCATTCAGAACTGGAAGATACACAAATAACCATAATATGTGGCAACTGAGGCACAGACTCCAGTTGTGGTGCAACCGAAACCATTTATTGAGTGAGCTTACAGGCTTTTTGTAGACCCCTGCCTAGCAGTTAGCAATCGTTAGTATCCAATAGTCTCTTTTCAGTACTTTTCACAACTTCATGCGCTTTTCCCAGACAATAACATTACTGATCACGCACCTTTTCAACCACTCACATTATTGTCCATGCACCTTTGCTAGAACATCTTATTTGTACCCAGATGACTAAGCACATTTTTCTGTTACCACTTTCTGCTACATTATTACTTTCCATTTTCCTTGGTACACATTCTTTTGTCCCCACAGTCCACATTGGAGACTCATTAGCTCCTGGCAATGTCGCGGGTACAACATTACATCTTTGTCTTCAGTAACTTCTTTGTTTCAATATCTACAGTTCTCGGAGATTATCTCGGTGTTTTAACTTCGATTCCTCTTGACTCCCATGGTTTGCAACTGATGAAGGTCAGGATGTTCATGCTCTCGTTCAGGTCTGCTGGTGCAGCTTCCTGTGCAGCATTCTCCACAGTAACATATATTATGTATATATCATCATAATGATGCCCATAACTAGAAAGGTATCTAGATGCTCCACTCCAACTGAAATCCCACTCAGTTCTAAAATCTTCCCCAAATGTCCCACATTTAACCAGGTGAGAGATTAAGTCTGTCTGCCTACTAACACATATTTCCAGGATTTAATTTTGATTTTAGATATCTAACTAGTCACCTAATTTCTCTTAGCTGCTCTCTCTCCCTATCAGCATACTGAGATAATTTGCCTCCTGCTAGCTTGAATGAAAACTATCTATTACAATTTCAGGAAATCTCTACAGCTCAATTAATTCAGGGCCTATGCTTATAGTCTGCTTTTGGTGCACTTGATCAGGGTAAGGAGCACATCACTCTCAAAACCTTTCAAATCTTCAGTTAAACCACAGGTGCTACTGTGAGATATAATGAAAGAAAAATAGGCCAGAATCTGAACACTTATAAAATAGGACCTTCTAAAGTTGCAGTATTTCTCCAGCGTGAATGTCAAGTCGTACCTTTTGGACTACATCTCTTTTGCCAGGGATCCTTCTGGGTCTCTTGGACCTTGATCTCCCTTTTCTCCCTAACAGAGATTAGATGGTTAATCAATTCTCATGTAGCTAATTTTATTGAATCAATAGACTTATATGAAACAATGCTTGCATAAACACTTTACCCAGAAATGTCAGTAAATATCTGGTTAATTTTTTTCCTACAAAAAATAAAGAAGTATTCTGTCTTCTCAAACCCCTTCCACCCTCCTGCATTTATATTCCTCATTTTCACAACTCACTACAATTCATTACTCAACTGTAATAGTGCCATTTGCAATTGCATCAAGCTTTTGTGGAAGGAATTACATGCATAAACTCATATGAAGAAGAGAAATACTTTCAGTTATCAGAAAAGGTCTTAGTTGTCCAATTTAAAGAAAAACAGCTTCTAAGAAGCAATAATTTTAGGCAGCTCTGTAGCCAAAGGCCAGTCTAGTCAGCAAAGAAGTATAACTTCTAGCCAGAAGCATAGCTTCAAATAATTAGCAAATAACCCACATAAAATGTACTATTAAGGAACATTATTATTTATGCATCATATAAGTCAGATTAGTATAATGGAATGCCTGTACATAATTCAGAAAGTGAAAAGTAGACTACAAGTAAGTTTAAAAATCCATTTCTGATTTGAGCTGTTGATGGAAGTGGCATTACAGAGCGTGCTGTTGATAGGCATCAGAGTATATTCCACTACTGTGACACAGCTTCAAACATGCAAGTAACTGCCTTAACATCACCATGCTGCCCACTGCAAGCATCAAGCTGTTCTTTGCACTGTCCCAAATATCCAAGACAGCTGCTCAGTACTAGTATTTTCACCTATAATGAATTACAACAGTTAAGGTGACAGCACCAAACTGATCATGGGAATAAAAGCAATACTCAAGAGAATAATATCCCAGCATTCCCAAATACAAAAGCCATCTGTAACTTTAACCCAATATTTACTTGTAACTGTAATGTTTCACTTTCGATACACTGAGGTCCTCCTGAGCACTTACATAGTGGGCAATTCCAAATATAATAAAAATAATTAAGCAGCAACAGAAATGCTACATATTTTTCCATAGTGGAAGTCTCACTGACTCAGGTGTATCTTGTCAAACTGGATTTGTACTGTCCTTGAGATGAGAAGAACACGAAGCTGCATTCTTAATAGATGTTTATTACAGCTATTCAGATATCTTCTGAATAAAGACTTGCAGCCAAAAAGTGCTGATTTGCCATACTCTGAATCATGTTCAGTTCATCAGTTCTACACATTGGCCAGCTGCTATCCTCATTTAAAAGCTGCACAGTAGCAGACCGTAGAGGCACCTGGATTCTCAGCAGCAATTCAAGAATCAGCTAAAGCACTGTGTTTTGCCCACTCAGCAGCTCATTCTATTCAGAAAGAGTAAAATTAAAAGCCTCCATTTAACTTATTCTAAATTGACTATTTTGGGCACTCAGCTTTGCACTCCTCTAAATTCTTGTCTACCATTTTGAATTTATGCTTTTTTTTTTTTTTCAGAACGTGGCAGAATGTCTCTTAAAATCTCAGAATTTCCCTTGGAAACAAGCAGTTCTAGTTTCAGCTGTTTGTGATGGTGTCTGTACCAGGCTGACAGGTTTCAGTCAGAGTTTGCCATCCTCCAGATGCCCTAAGTCACATCAATGTGAGCATTACTCCTTGGTGTCAGGAAATATCTGAACAGGCTGTGAGGAACAGGCTAAAGATATAACCTGTCTGTTCTCCAGGAAGATTGTGAAGTTTAACAGTAGTCAACAGCCCACAAAAGGCAGGACAGCTAAATCAGATGCAGATTCAGATGGTTTATTGGAAGCATCTCAGCTAGCCAGCTCCTCTTCCCTGGCAGAAGTATTGGCACATGCCCTTCTACATGATGAACTCCTTTACACTGCATACCAGCAAAAAATGGTTTGTTCTTCTTTTGTCTATACCTTTTACATGGGGTAAAATACATTTTCTTGCCTTTTTTCCTGATTTCCCAGGATCTCCCTGCACCCCTCTTTCTCCTGGGAGTCCTGATAAACCCATGTCTCCCTTAAAAAGGAATAAATAATTATATCTGTCTATACTCTGTAAAATAGACTTAACAGTGTGTTAAAAAAAAACATTCGTGGTACACAATATTTTTTTCTCAAATAAACGTTGTTATTCCCAGTAAGTTAAATACTCTATGGAGCCTGTATTTTTTCCTGTTCATACAATCTAAAATAAGTATTTAAAATTTCCTTCCAAGCTCCTCACCTACTTCTTAAATTTTAAAATTGTAAATATATTTATATTTTTTTCAGTGAGGAAAAACATGATTGAATGCTGCTTTGTTATTCTGTGCACAAGAACAATATTATACAATTATAATTTACTTGTAAATTCAAACATCTGGGACTTAAGAAATGGTCAGCCAAAAATGCCTAAATGGAGTTATTGACTGGAGGCTACCACCTTGCTGGCTGTACACATGGGTCTAGGCATTACTTTTAAGAATTGCTACAAAGAGTTGAAACTATCCATAGGAGCTAGTCCTGCCAAGTACTTCTTCAACAAGCCTGGGAAAAATCACCAGCAGCAAGATGTCTGTGTCATCTTACCCAAGATTTTGGAAGCCCTACTTATCATTAAGGACATTAATGATAATCATTAAGGACAGGGTATGCAGTGTTCAAAATGGCAGCTGAAGTCAAAGCAGTAAATGTTTAATGGCTCTTCTAACATGTAGGCAGTACAACCACCACTGTCACACAGACTGGGCTTTTTTTTTTTCCAAATCACTGCAGGGGAACAGAGGTAGTAATGTTTCTCACAGGCTTTAGAAATACCTCATGAGCTTAGAAAAGATGGGCAAACTCCATTCCAGCTATGGCTGCAGTAATGATTTTAGGAGAGAAGGTGGGAGCTCTAGCCCAGCATTTTGCATTTAAAAGCTAAAACTGTGAAGTTAAGTGAATATCTGTCACTGAAATTCTTCTTATTTTGATCATAGTCAATTTATACCAAAAATCTTAATTTATCAGCAACTAGTGAAAGAATTAGAGGACCCTGTAAGGAGCAGTTACAAATAAAAATAGGCTCACTTTAAGTCCTTGCTCCCCAGTTGCTGGATGTCCTGGTTCTCCTTTTTGTCCAGGTTCACCTGATTGACCCTAGTAATAAAAAGTCTTGCTTAACAAAGAGACACGATTTAGCTTCATTAATTTCTTGCACTACTTCACTAACTGGTTTACAAGCAGAATTGAACCTGATGATCCTTAGGGGTCCTATCCAACTTGAGATATTCCATGATTCTGTGATTCCATAGTTCTAAGTGGTCAAGTTTTCAATCAAGCAGTTTTAACTGGAAAATTCTGTTCTTTAAAACCCCCAGTAACTTGTAAAATTGCACCTATTTTATTTAACCTTGCAGTGGGCAGAAAGTCTAAGTGAATCATTCCAACTTCCTCCTTTTTGTTTTAAACTATTTTCTTTTTTGACTTTATACCACTAAATCAAAATTTCTTTGGTCACTGAATGAAAAGTGAGCCCAAATAAATATCAGAACTTCTGCTTAAAAGAAAGTTTTACCCTCATGATTGTTCCTTCCAGTTGTTCTGGAACAGTTAAAGAAATAGGAATTCCATTTTTCAATTTTGATTTTAAAAATACTTTTTGCATTAGGAAAATTGTCCTCATACAGAACATGTTTCACAGCTGCACATTTTCCCCTATATTAATATTAAACATTGCTGCTGTAACATTACTTACATGCCAAAGAAAATTATTGTATTTCTCCCTACTTTTGCTACAGTGACTAATGTCTTCGTTTTGTACATCAAGGTGATTACAAAGCACACTTCTGTTTTACAGTTCATCAGTTTATTCTGCTTGCCATCCTTGGTATTTCAGCAATTCCCCTTCTCTCTTCTGACAGTGTCCACCTGACACTGTATTGCTAGCAGCCCAGGCTTGGACAGCCATAATGGTTTACCCCACTTTCCTGTTCTCTTCCTTCTTTCCCTCCTTCTGTGGTGCAGTGTCAGCTAAATGCACTTATGCTCTTTTTTCTCTTCTAGTGTGTCTATGTTTGGTTTTAGTTCTTATGATGACCACAGGATGCTGAAGGACAGGCTGAAAGTATGATGGGACTGGCCTTAAGTCTCAAAATCATTACTATTTTGCAACTAAGTTGTTTGGTTAAATGATTTACTTGAACACAACGCGTATGTGACATAGAATTAAACTGATGTCTGAGAGATGCTTCATTTATGAATTTGCCTTCATTTAGAACCTAAAATTGCCATTCACAAAGGTTAAGTGCTGATGCTAAGCATCATAGGCTCCAGATGGGGCCATAGGCTCCATCTGGGGAACCCCTTGATAACATGGGTGGTTTCCCCTCAAAGATTCAAAAGTGAATTGTTATCTCCAGCAAGAGTTACATTTTTACCTCATCAAACAGACTCTCAAAAAACCTGGCAAAGATACATTGCTTGTTGGGTTTTGCTGGTACTATTTTTAAAAAATAATATGTGACTTACTACCTTTGGACCTGGCAGACCAAAACCTTTAGATCCCTTAGCCCCAGGCTTTCCTTAGGGACCCTGTATACCCTACAAAGTAAAATAAGTGGGCAAATTACAGTCTTCCACGTCTGAAACTCATCACGTTTCCATCTTTCAGTGAATTATGATTTTATCTTATCTTCAAAAGAAAACAATTTCCATGCCTGTGCTCAGGCTTAGTTTGGAGATCTTGGTTTTGTTTTTCCTTTGTCTCTATCCTCTGTATTTCACTGATGTATCCAAGTGTAATGACAATTACTGTTAGTGCCTCAGTATCTGCATTTAAGCCCTGATTCATAGCATGGTGGAAGCACGAACTCTTATCTTCTTTCTGAAAACAACAAAACCTAAAAAATCTTTTGGGATGTTTCAGTTTTCTCTATCCAAATATTAAAGGCTGTGTTCAAGCTTCAAAGGCCTTGAAATCCAAAAGTAATGGATTCTTACCTTGCGGAACTGTTATCTGTAATATGTCATCATCCAAGCAATGCATCTGATTTATATCCCATGCAAATTATGCAGATTTGACCAATTTTCTGTTTGCTTGAGTCTAAGACCATTCAGATCAGTTGGAATCACTTGGATTTACAAGCTTTGCCTAAAGACTAGTTAGATACTTTTTAAAATTAAAAATCACTATGAGATTTTTAATGCCTTCACATCAAAATCTGAGCTCTGATAAAGTATAAAACATAAAATACATGCAAACGCTCACTACATGTCCAAAATGTAGACTTACCTGGCTTCCTGGATTGCCTGTTCCTGATGGTCCTGCTGGGCCCTGTGGCCCTACTTGGCCTTGTTCACCCTATAAAAAGAATTTCATCAAGCCAAGGGAATTAAAATTGTTCTGGATCTCTTTGGGGAACTGGGTGCCAAAAAGCTAACAAATTTCAAAAGCCAGAGTGTTCCTTTGCCTATTCCAGATCCATTGGATTAGATGACTCAAAGGGCTTTTTACACTTCACAAATATTTAAATAAAATTTGAAATTTTTTAAATGCAGTATTTCTGAAATAAATTTAGGAGGAAAAAGTGAATTTCTTCCCTCATACTCCCACCTGCATAGAATGCAGTCCTTAGTGTTGTGTCCCCCCCATTTAACATTAAGAGGCTCAGCTCCTTGATAAGTGGGTGCAGTCTATGCAGCTGCATGGAACAGAGGAACATGGCTCCTCAGATTCCAGGTAAAACATACCTTTGTATTGTTGTGACGTGTGAATAATTCATCATTAATTTAACTATAATTAACTAGGGATATGATTAGAAAAATACTCTGTGCCTCATCTTGTCTCCTTTGATTTATTGACCTGGCTGTCCAGGAGGAGCAGCTGCACCTTCAGAGCCTTTTTCACCCTAGATATACGTGCAGTATTGTAACTATATTTGGGAATTTATGAAGAGCACAGTCCTAGACAAACTAGTCATCACAATGTGGGTAATGAGGAAAAAAATATTCCTTCACAAACAAACAGGAAAAATAGTCAAGGTAATTCCTAGTATTACAGAAAAGTGATTCAGTTACAATTCGTTAAATGCTTCATCTGCATTCACTGTGTTTTTGAACACAGGACCTCAGAAGGAGAAAAGGAAATACTAGGAAGAAGGAAGCTACATTTTGTAAAGGTGATGATATGTTCATTAGTCAGAGAGAGCAGTTTGGAACCTGGTGCAAGGACATGACTAACACCTTTCCCATAAAAGGAAGAAAAATCTTTGCTTAGTAGTCCAAGGCTCTAGAGAATCTTCAAGCCCCTAAAAAAGAGGGATACATTTTGACAGGAAGCCCAGTTGTGACTGAATCATAAATCTTTGCTTGTTTGTACATAGTTTTTAAAAAGGGAATGTTCACATGTATTAAGCTAGCAACTGCCCTTAATGAGGTAACTGTCCATAGAGACTAATACAACCCATCTTTCAGTTTCCTAAAATGGTAAGGCAGAATGAAAACAGTTCCTGAATGTTTTCTTCCAATACAGAGCCCAAATAGCTACGTAGTCTTTCAGAAGATTTCTCTTATTAATGCTACCAAAATAAGGTATTTATTAACACATAAGCAGGAGAATCATTAACTTACTAATGTTAAAGGGACTGTACAACTTTTTTGTAGTTATCTTGATAGAGTTTCTGAACAAAAAGAGATATTAAAAACCAGCAATTTCCATAAAACTACCTTTTGGCCTTGAATGCCCTCTCCTGGTAGACCTTTCTCACCTGGCAGACCATCAGGGCCACGTGGTCCCTGTAAGGAAAAAAAAACCATATTCAGACTATACCAGCAATTCCATTTTTATTGACATTTTGTCTAATTTGCAAGTCTTGTGACACTGGTAAGCAAAAATGCTCACCTGGCTGAACCCAGGCAATTAAAATGAAGTGTAACAACCCTTAACTGGAGGATTTATATTAGAAAAAGCTAATGCTGAAATGGTGTGAATTACATAATTAATGTCTAAAGATTGTACCCTTGAAAGTTAATGAACATGTAGATTAATTGACAATACATTTACCACTGCAAATTTTTTCCCTGCAATTTCATATAGTTTCATTATTTCATAATGAAAATCCTTAATTTGAACATTGTTTTTTCATACAAATGGAAGGTTAAACATGTAAAATTAGAGAATGCCAATTCTGCTTTAAATAGATACAGAAATAATTATTCTTGTAATGCTTTCTGTTCTTCCACAAAATTCTGCTCTTTCATTATTTATAGCTAATCGTTTTTAAAGATGATTTTGAGTAAGCAAAAAGTTTCTATGTTTTTTTTTTTTGTAAGAAAAATAGTCTTTGACAACTACAAAGTGACTTAGAATGAATCTAACATCCACCCACATTCCTGTCTTCTTTCAAAATTTCTTTGAGATTTTTAATGAAATACACAAGAAAACCATAAATTTTATAGATTTCAGGATGAAATGTAGCCAGTGAGCACCAGCACAACATTACAAAAAACTTGCTAAAGATATGTAATTTGGAAGATAAAGATATAACTAAAAGCATATAATTTGGGTCTTTGTTTTTGATACAATCCAAATTATACACAGGAGCTGAGGAAGGTCTCAACCCCTGGATGTTCATCTTCCTGAAATTTGATTTTAGATAATTTTTAAAGATTATCCTCAACTCAAACAAGTAGTTGTCCAGCTATTTATATATAACTCCATGTCTTTGTGAAAACTGGATACTGTAATCCTGCTCACATGGATCAAGCTATTTTTATTTCCCCAGAACATGCTTGGATATGGTTTTATTCTCCTGCTTTGGCAATCCACATGCAAATACTGCTGTAACGTTGGACTGGCATAGCCAAACACACTTCTGCTGCACCAGACTTAGTACAAGGTGGCTTATGGAATCAGCAGCCAATATAGCTCCAACTAATTAGTTACACTTACTAATACATATTTTATTACCTTTTTACTTCCAATCCATATACCACTGACTTACAGGTAATCCTGGCTCATGAATTCCAGGAGGTCCTGGGAATCCAATTCTGCCTTCTCAACCTTGAGCATCCTCGTGAAAAAAAGAAAATACTAGTTCAGTCCTAATTCAACTCAATGCTTTTGAAAAGCACAACATTCACATGTGGATGACTTAGTGATGCCACCAGAAATGTCTGAAAGCCATTGTATAACATCTCCTGATTGGGGTGGTGGGGAAGAGAAATCATAAATAACAATTTGGAAAGATTTGAAAGAATCTTTCAATTTATAGTTGGAGCAGTAGATTGCATTCCATTCCCCATGCCAACAGCAAAGGTGTGTTATCACTTTACATAGGGGTAACTGCTGAAAAATGCAGGACTTGAGGGATGACAAGGATGAGAGAATGAAGTCAGGCTAAATTTTGAAGCAGGAATGCTCATGTGTGAGGAATCCTCACTCTAGCCTTTATCTAGACACTCAAACTGAAGCCTGCTTCAGTGGAATATGGGATTGCATGGGAACTCCAGGAACTGCATAGTGTCTGTATCTTCTGTATAAAGTGTCATACTCTTCACAATTCTTTCAGTTTACTAAAGACTGTGCTTCAAGGATAAGAGTACAGAGGATTTTTATCTCTCCCCAAGGTACTACAGAGACCGGGAGTAACAATCCTTCTCCATAAGCCGTTTTCTATTCTAGAAGGACCCAGTGTTTTTCCTTTTACATGGCAAACTATTATTAGGTTCTGAGCTGTATAAAACCCTCTATGTTCCAAGGCCTGCTCCATTGCACAGAAAATACATGGGAGTTCAGTGAATGTACAAATTAGAGCAGTAAAAGCCAAAAAGTGAAGATATTTTAGACACTATCACTTGGATTCAAAAAACAGAGGAAAAATGACATAAAGCAACACCAAAGACTTCACAGCCAGCACAACCAGGATGAGATCTAGTTCTGTCCAATTAGAGTCTCAGCTGTAGGTCTCTGACAAAACTCTCATAAACTCAGTAGTCCTGTTTCCTATATAGATGCTTTTCCAGTTCTACAAAAGGAGAGTTCGTTGGCCAGCATTAGCAAACATGACTTTTTCAAATTAGCAAGAATGGATTCCACCTTCTACTCATTTGCAATAAAATGAGATGGAAGAATTAAATGCTGCATGAGACAGAGAATTTTATAACCTGCAAGAATATCTGTTTCCTAGTGAAGAACACCAAGGCAAATCCGTAACTTTACTGTGTATCACAGTGACTGAGATGTATTTCTTGAAGTATGGTTTACCCATTAGTGCAAGCATTTGCTAGTGCTTGAAAATGATCTCACATATTTAACTTCCATTTAAATGGCATTATTTCTGACTTCTGTTATATCAGTGGGACCACAATAAAAAGTTAAGAGTGGCTGGAAAGGCAGGCCTGTTATCTCCATCCTATACAAATACAAAAACCTATCAATATTGTATCCGTTTTAATTTAGATGCTAAGAGCTTGACTTTGGTAAAACAGTGGGTGAGAACTTTCATCCAAAACATGACTGCCAACAGTTGGCACTTTAACAGACAGTATCACTGACAGTTACCTTGGGTCCTGGCTGTCCAACACCTGGTTGTCCTGGAAGACCATAGGGACCTAAACAGCCTTGCTCCCCTTAAAGAGAGAAAAAAAAAAAACAGGGACAGAAAATGGGAAGAAACTGTTAATGCCAATTGAACCTTCACCAAATCCTGCCGGTGTCTCTCTCCAGTTTCATTTAGGGCTACAGAAATATGGTTTTCAAGCAAAAAACCCACAAACAGCCAACAACAACCCCCCAAAACTCCCCCAAGCCTGTTTAGATTAGGAGCACAGTCAATATCCCAGCCATATAAGTTGCAGGTATATGTTATGTAATATATAGGCAATAATGTTCTAAATCATTCTTTCATATGCATCAAGATAGATGCAAAATATATTTATTCTTTGTCATATCCTTGTTCCTGACTATGTCCAGTAGTTTGGTGCTTCCTCAGCTTCTTTTCTTGCTAGAAAGAGAGGAATTTGGAAATTAAACGGGGTTTAAGCTTTAAACATTGCACTCATGTTTCTTCCCATAGCAACACCTGCATACCACGACTGTTGTTCCTACTGCTATCTTTGGCTGCAGCTCCTAATTCTCTTGTTTGTTTACTGTGTTCCTAAGAAAGCCAACATAGCCACGATTGTTAAAAAGACTTCTTATCAAATTGTGTTTATTTTCTGTAATCATATTTTGGGGGTTGAAATTTTGTACATACCAAGAAATCTTATGTGCTGAGTTGTGAAATCTTTCAATGAGATTTTTTGTGCTTGAGAGGAAAATGGACATATAAAAAATTACTACAAAGCCAGATTTTTCTCCAGAAATCTATCAGTTTGTAATTTGCCAAAGAATGAAGCTAAAATACAGGAATGGGAATACACAGTGAAAGTAAACACAAGATTATCCTTGAAGCTTAATTTCCAACAACTATGCACTTGGAGGGCTACTACTGCAGCTTTAAACCTATAATAAAGTGGAACTGGATGCCCAGTCTTAAATTCATTCCATTACAGGACAGTATGATATTTTGCAGAACAGCTATGAAATTTAATGCTAATTCAAAAAACAAGATTTTATAGCACAACTTCAAAATCTAATAAATTAATTCACCATTACTAGAAGATAATCCTTAAAAGGTAGAGAAAAATCAAGAGAAAGCTGGTATCACTCAGCAAAATAGCACCTGTATCTCCACATAGCACACCAGTAGGGTATTAGCAACACTGACATTGCTTTAATGTGGATTCTGTGCATGTACTTGTTGACAAATATAAAATGAAGATGTTTACTGTATACATAGGTAGACCATATTTTTGAGGTTTCTTAATAGTATTTTCATGACGAGAATCACAACTCGGGTAATGTGTATCCAGATTATTGTAAATGCTGCAATCTTTTCCTGAGAGGAAGCCAATTAGAAATTGACCCATTTTGTTCATAGCTGGGTTGGGTTTTTTCCTCCTGTGTTTGTTCTGAAACTGATCAAACTACACAACCAACAAAAATTCCTCAAATGTCCATCTTCTAGACTTCCAGTTCCTCCATGGGATTAATCTGGCATTGAACAAACTGTCCTTTCAAAATCAGCTGATCAAAACTAATTTTTATTAAATGTTTCCCTTCAGCAGGAACTTTTGGGAAGGCCAAGAACGATACAACCAAAGTCTTGTCTCCTCTTTAATTCTCCTTACAAAGTCTCTGTTTCAAGTACTGTTGTCCTTTAAGACAACAGTTAACTGGATTTCAGTTCTTTTGGGGATGATTCTGTTTAGACAAGTAGGGGAAATATGTAAAGAAATGTTTTGTACTATTTCTTTAGAAAATATATGCTATACCAAACGTTTTCAGAAGGAATTTAGTGACTTAAAAGCCTCCATTTCATTTCCAATGGTAGTACTTTAGGCTGCTGAATTTCATTCATGCCAACAAGTCACAAGCATCTAAGCATTAATGGAAGTTCAGCTGTTGATTGTACATCAGTATGAAGAAGTGCACTGGCAGAATGGTATCAGCAAAGCCACAGTACTGTAGCTACACACACCCAGCCCTGTGGTATGCTCTGCTTTCAGAACAAAATCATCCCCATAGAAGCTAGAAACTCCTTTATTTAGGTTTCAGTAGAAAGTTTTACAAGCAAATTTTCATGCACAGACACTGCCCCAAGGACAGAGATACTCCTGCCACTTTTACCCACAGCTGTGCTTCTTGCAAAGCTAGTCAAGAGGCACAAAGTATGGGTTTTGGAAGAATGTTAAGCCAAGCACACCAGTCTGGTTCCCAAGAAGCTTTGCCATTTGGCCTATAGGCTCCCTTACCTTACCACCAGCTCTTAATTCAATTGCTCTTCACTTGATAAGCAACATTAGCAGATGCAGCTCCATGTACCTGCATTGCCCTGACACAGTCTAGTTAGGGATGGAGTTCCCCACTTCAAGGAAGAGGTGCCTCAGTAAAAGAAATAGGCATAAGCTGCTGCAAACCAGTCAGTGTACCAAATACTAGCTGTTGAAATTCACAGTCCTCATTTCTTTCATGGAGAAGGCAGCGAGAAATCTCTGTTGGGCCATGACGTATTAGCATGCTCCACAGAATGGACATGAAATAAAATGCCAAGTTGAAAATATATTAAAAAATTCTATGAGATTAAAAAAAAAATGCATGCAGCACCACTATTATAGGTAGTAATCTGGAAACAGCAAATGCCACTAAGCACGCTGGCCCCACTTGTCAAAACTAAGCCTCTGAAATGGTGTTGGAACTTGTTCCATTCTGAAAAATAACATTTGATAAATACAGGCTCATCTCTCAGCTGAAACAATTAACCAAATCCCTTGGTTGTATTTGGAAAGTGTCTTCCAATTTTTGCCTTGTTGTCCAAGTGGATGCTGGTTTTTGTATCTATTTCTGACAGCCCTTGACAGAATTCCCAAGGGCAGTAACTCTCAAGGATGCTTTCTATCACAAATCATTTGCTCCTTTGCAAGATCACCCCTGTGATAGATCTATGCTAATATAAGCATTGCCTTGAATGTAGGTGGGAGTCCTACAGAAGTTAGCTTTTCCGAAAGCTCTTTTTCAAACCATGATAGAAACAGTTTTCTTTCAAGTGGCTGGTGTTGTAATCTGCCTTCCAGCAGCCGTACCAGCAGGTACTGCTGTAGGCAGTGTAAACAGCCCTTATGATAAAAAGCATGTAGGGTAATTGAATGCTTTCTCAATGATAGCAGAGGATGCCTGAGTATTAATGGAGAAAGAAACCCCACCTTCTTCTGCCAGACAACATACAAAACTTAAACTTTTAAAAACTGCATATTTCAAACTTCATGAGTAAGCCTGGCTTTTATCTTCCATGGTTTTGGTGTACAGGTAATGTGGAATTTGTTAAAACCATAAAGAGCTGGCAGTAGTATCATTATCTCCATGTGTAGAAGGGGAAGTCTGCTTTTCAAAGTGCCTCTTTGTAACTATTTTCTTTGTCTAGCATTCTACTCAAAATCTTTTTTTCTCTTCCTGTTAGGATTTTCCTTCATGTGGCATTTAATATCAGCTAAAGCAATGGGAAGGAAAATTTCCACTTGATTTGAGCTAAGCATTTTTACATATTAAAACAGTTTAAAGTTCCTATTTAAGTTGGGAACATACTTAACAGTCTACCCCATTTTTTGTCCTATCCTGAGTTACCAGCTAGGCTGAAGTCATGACACCCCAAAAGAAAAAAGACTGTTATATTATGATGAGTACCAGTTACTGCCAGTATAAAGAATTTCTTCACTTTTCAAAGAGTAAATACATACTATAAGGAAAACAAAGACTCTGTATTTCAGTCTACAAAGCAATAAAGGTTAAGCTATAGTAGAAATAGTATTTCAAATATAATGATTTTATCTTTAAAGTGAATGTTGGCAGCAACAATACAAGTAGATATGGACATTTTAACAGATATCGTTGGTATTTTGTATTTCTAAGCTAGTTGAAATACCTAGGAGCTACACTTTACAGGGAAATTGAATTTTTTAATCTACTGGGAAAGACTTAACTTGCTACATAAGTAAGAAAAGAATTTAGAAGTCATTAGAAAAGACATCCCTTAGCAGTTCATTCTCAGACACATTTTCAGGGAAATATGCAATGATGCATTTTTCACAGAACCATCCTAGGATGTTTTAATGGGAGTAACTTCTTGGAATACCCACATTCAAACTTAACTGTTTCTTTAAAAGTTCGTATACATGTCTGTTCATAGAACTTCAGACTCTAATTCAGAGTCTATGCATATGAAAACTTTCAAAAGTGGCTGTTACTATTAGCAGTGGCTTTTACAAATGTGTTGTTCTCAGCCTTCCTATGAATGTATCATGGTTTGTAGAAATGTGTACTTCATTTCTAGTAGCTGGTCTAAGAGTTCAAACAAACAAACTCAATGTCACTTCTGAAATGATAACCATAAGTACTCCCTGTTCATCACTTCTTTATGAGGGGAACACAGAGCACTTTCTTAATTTATGACCTGATTTTATGATCTGTAACCACATCATTCTGGTTGTAAACTGTCCACTGAAATTTGTGACTAGTGACTATTATACCCTTAAATAACAAGCAAATTTTCAAAATTACCTTGAATATAAACACTCTTCGGAACCTTACCGGTGCTATTATATTGAAAATATTGTTGATTTTTTAAACAGCAAATAATAGTTAACCTTTTTTTAATGAATGAAAACAGGCAAAATAATGACTACTATTTTGAATAAATTAAAAGATATATGCATGTTGAAAATGTAAAGAACAGCTGTGGATGTTATTTTTTCTTGGTATTTCAAGTTTCTGAGAGAAAAAAAATAATGTAGAATTTGGCTTTAACAGTATTCTTGTTTTGTTTGTAAATTTAATATCTTTCTGGCAACATTGACAGTAGGCAGTAGAAAGTCAGTAAAACAGAAAACAGACAGTATAATCCTGGTGGTCTGCTCATGACATGCGCGGGGGACAGGACCAAGATAACTACTTCAGAAGACAGGAGATACACAGTGAAAACAGCGAGTTCCCAACTCCTGACTAGGTTTGAGTGAAATGTCCTGTTGCATTCTAATGCTTTTCTCTCAAAGTTACTATGTTTTATACTGTTGTTATAGGTTTACTGTTTACTATGTTTTATACTGTTGTTATAGGTTTACTGTTAACAAGAAAGTTAAATTTTGGTTAAATGGAAATATATTTAGTCAGGTAAACTAATGATATAACATTAACATGTATTTTTATTTTTATTTATTTGTCATTTAAAATGCCTCAACCTCTTTATGGAGAAGATTTGTATATATACGGTAATAAAACTATTTAGATGTTTTTGAGATGCTATAACTTTGTAGAAATGCAAATAGAGAAAACTTTATTTAAGTCTGCTTAACCAAAACTGGGTTTATTTAATGCTATGTGGAGCTGCATTCTCTGCAGGATATAGGCTGTACAACATACACGTGTGACTCGAAAAGGGTGAAAGTAAAGTGATGAAGTTTGCTTGTATATTAAAGAGGTTATTAAACTTAAGGACTGATTGTGAATTGCATCAGAAAGACTTTAAGAGATTAAGGATGTGATTCAGCTCCGTATGATTATACCTAAACTTAGGTGTCTACGTAGAAACACACTATCTGAGTTCCTGCTGTAGTCAGCGGAAAGCTGCTCAGTGCAGGCAGTAGGACTTTGAAAGAGATTCAATTCATTAATGTCAATATGATAAGGCAACGCCATGAAAAGGGATAGAATTTGGGTGCTGTGCAGCCATAAGTCTTCACAAAGGGTGGATTAGCAAGCAGCTTAAGAGGGAATGAGAAAATGCATATGAATGACAGAAGAAATAAGATATGAAAAGTTCTTACTCTACGCTACCTTGCTTCAGAGAAGTCAAATTAAATTAGCTGAAGTTGCAATGCTGCTGGTGGCTGCCAGAGCCAGCAGCATCCGGACAGCACAGAGATGACACTGTCCTGAGCCGTGCCTGCTGCCTGGCCCTATAAAGTGAGAGAATGTGTTCGGCATTTCCTTACAGAGGTGTGGGAAGGACTGAGTTGTATGAGAGAACTGTAGACTTCACAAATGAGACCCAAAACATCTGTAGGCTGAGCTTGATCCAGAGTTTATATTTTGAAGAGGAACTGAATCCCCTCTTTCAAACCTCAACATGGCCCACTAACAATGAATAAAAGTGTTCAGCAGTGGTGCTCTGTGTAATGTTGTATCAATACTAATTTCATGCAACTGCCTTTAGGTCTGCTAAACTGGGGTAAAGGCACTAGTTCGGCTCAAAAAGCAGAAAGTATTAGCATGGAAAGGCCACAGGTATAAGGAACTGCACTAATAGACTTTTTTTTTCTTTATCCAAAGCAGTTATGAATAACTGCCATTTTCCACATATATTGTATTATGTGTCATGAAAACTAATTTTAAAAGAGTAATTGAATAATCCTTCTGTAAGGATAAAAGATATTGGAAAGACTGCGATGTGTCTGAACCAAAAAAGGCCTTGACCTTTACTAGTCGAATGGGTGTTTATTAAGCTGTAAACAACCACTGATCATCTGTACCGATGATTAAAACATTTTTCGCTCATCTCAAATAAGCTCCAAAATGCTGAAGATTAGCTTTGGTGCTAGGTATGGACAAGACATAACCTCTAAACATACATATGCTTTGACTAGAGCCTTCAGGTGCAATAATTACCCAAGCACACTAATCAAACTTGTCTTGCAATATTTGCATTATGATAGATGTCTAAGCCTGGAACATCCTTGACTATAGACTTTAAATAGCAGGCTGCTGAGTTGGAGGCTGAAAAATGAGAGACTCTTATGCTGAAAATGGGCATCTAAAGTGTAACAAGAGACCATAAATACTATATCCAGGCAGACCAATCCTAGAGAGAGCTGCATGTACTTTATAGACATGAAAGTGTGTGAAGAGACTGACAGGAGGACAAACAACATCCAACAAATATGGTTCAGTGTATAATAAAAGAATGTGGTAGTACTATCTTGGACCCATCAGTGTGAAATGACAGATAAAAAAATTACTGTAATTTGCTGTACTGCAGTTAAAGAGAGGCATGACTTTTCTCCCACATGTATGAATAGCTTCATTCAGACCCATCATTCTCTTCCTCTCCTGACTTCTGAAATATTCTGTAGCAGCTTTCCTAATCAAGCATTTTGTTGAGAAGATGAAGAATTAAGAAGTATGAAAAAGCATTTGTCAGGAATAGGAAAATCATGATGGATGCCAGTATTCCAAAATTTTTACAATAAACATTTCACATCTCTAAATTTATTTCTATGAATCTTCAACTGAAAGTTTTGGCTAAGAAACAAAACATTAGTATCTAAATATTGCATCTTTGACAAATTACTTTGTGTGAATTTAATTGCCTTGTATAACTTATAAATGGCATTGCATAACCAGGCTATCAATAATCGTGTGGTAAAAGTCTTTGTCATTAGACCCTGCATTTTCAAATGGATACATGAAACATCTTTCTGTACCAAACAGTGATGCTAATAGCTGTCCCATGAGCAATTATCTGTATTCACATATAGCAATTTCCCAAAGGTTTGCAAACCAGAAGACTGACTAAATTAATCAGACACTTTATCCAACTGATTTTGCTTGACAAGCTGCAGTCATTACTTCAAATGATCTATTTGAAATAGGATTAAAGCACTAATCATCATTAAATCTTACACCTCTACCAATGTCACAAGTTGTCTTGCATTTTTTACACAATTAACATTACTTCAAATACTCAATCTAAAGATTTTAACCACTATCTAGAATTACTTAAAATCTTTAAACACAAAGCATTTTAGCAGAAAAAAATCTGGAAAAAACTTCCCAAGTGATGGCTGAAGCCAAGACACATATTTTGGTGATTCAAATTCCTGTCTTAAGTGCTGTGGCTCTAGGCAAGTCCATGGTGCACCCTGTTGTGGCCCTATAAGATGCCCTTGAAGACCCAGATGGAAAATAGGCTGCATGTGCCAACAATACCAAGCCTTCATAACATGATAGCACCATTGTGTACTAAGCACGTGGCGTACACTATTTCTGTGCAATAGACACCACTAACAAAAAACTACCAAGGAAGAAAGATAGTAAAGTATAAGGATTCCACACAGAGCTTCTGCATCTCCCCTCTCTATATAAATAACATCTACACATACTAATACATCTTACCTTGCTTCTTTGAATGCATTTTGGGCCTGGCTCACCTGGAAGTCCCCTGATACCCTATACAAAAGTCAAAATATAGGATGAGTTGCCTTTGAGGATGCATGTAAAGGTGGAATATTTTGGACTTGGCCTGAACAAGTGCAGTAAAACATACTACAGTGGTAAGCTCTAAAGGGCAAGGATTTTATGTGTCATATCCTGGGAAGTGGCCAACACATTATATTCTTAATATTCAATAACCAGTGCTGGCAGAAAGGATCTTCAACTAGTCCATGTGAACTGCATCTGCTTTATCTAAAGCTTTCTTCCTTTCTCCTCCTGCTCCCAACTTTGCCATATTTTCATAGTCTCTCTTCTGCCCCAGTAAATAAACTAAGCTGTCACACCTCATTTAGCTCTGTTTGCAAGAAATCACTTCCCTGCATTTATCTGTGATGATAAACTGAGATTAATTTTAATTCCTGGACATTACCACAATCATTGTGTCCCTTCACAGAAGGAAATAATTAATGACTCTCTGAAGAGACAGAGCAGGTGAGGTACTAAATATGGATGCTACCATATAAGAGGAATTTAGCAAGTAGGAGTATGACAGGGCATGATTACGCTCTACAGGTAAGAGGAGAGCTCTGTAGTTGGAGAGCACAAGTGGGCCACACACACAACTAAATCTGAGCAGATTTAAGCAGCAGCAGCAACAAAGGTTTTTTCTTTGAAAATTATTTCCAAAAGACAAAGATTTGCTAGATTCTGCTGTACTGCTGCCTCATGCACCAATCACACTGCTCTCCGCAGAGCTGACAGGTTGTATGTAGAAGAAATTTACAGAATATTTGGAAGCTTCTAGTTCCCTTACCTGAGGCCCCTGTGGTCCCATAGGGCCAAGAGGACATTCCAAACCCTAAGGAAAATTAAGATTCAATTATCAGATGAATAGGAAATTTTAATTATCTGCTTTAAAGTATCGAGAATTACTGTGTACCACTCATACCTCTGTTTAAGCGTTTTCTAGGTAGTTTATTCTCTCCAGAGCACTACTATTCTTGTTCTGTATTCAGTAATTCCCTGTTACATTCCATCCTCAACATTTGGTTAGAATAATTTTCATATACTAAAAACATTGTGGATAGCTACTTAACATCCTAGCTGTTTAATTAACCAGTTCTTATTTACTATAGGTATTTAAATTCAATTTCTAGAAGTATATTAAATACAGAATTCTTAAAAATATCCTGCAGTGCTTACACTAGAATAACTTCAGTTAACTTTGTCTTACTAACTCAAAATCCTGATCAGTAGCACGTTAGAACTGTACTAATAGTTCACCAAAAAAACCCACCCCACATTAAAATTTCATCAAAAAAAAAAAAAGGCAAAGAGACACTTTTTAAGTCCATTAGCTATTTCTGATTATTTTGTCCAGTATTAAAAAAAAAAAAAAAAATCATTTTGTTCTACCTTCTGCATTTGTAAATGTGAAGTTGGGAATTCTGGAAGTCACTGCAATTTTCATTTGTTCACTAAATTCCTGAAGTCCATAATCCACTATAATCTCTGATCCTCTGCAGATGGCAAACTGCTTTTTTTTTTTTTCATCACTGTCCTCAACAGAAGTGAAACAAGCAAATTTCCAGCAGCCCTATCATGTGTTTTCTACATCCAGATTTCTTGGCTGCTTTGATTACGTTCTTTGCCAACATCTGGACAGCTTCTGTTTATCTTAGTAGATGTTTCACATAACCTGGTGCTATCTCTCACATATTGCCTGGATAAAGAAGTTATGATCTTTATTCCTCTGAGAAATGCAACTCTTTCTCCTTTTACATTGATATTTCAGCTTTTCCTGACTCGCTGCCATTTCAAATCCCAGCATCTCACAAGATATTATCAGTATTTAGGTTTTTATTACAGTATAACGCCTCTTCCTCTGCTACAAATACTGCTGCTTTTGGTATTTCCTAATTCCTACTTGAAATCAGGTAAGATAAAAAAAACTTTTCAAGTTGGTCTTTGATAAAGGTAAGTATAACATGGATGTTAAAACTGAAGAAATGTGCTTTACTGAAACGATCAATTGCAATCCAGTTGGTAGTGCTTAACTAATTGCAATCCAGTTGGTAGTACTTAACTAACTACAAATAATTGTTTTGTAGTACTCATACAAACCTGCTTTATGTGAACTCAAGATACATTATTATTTCACTCAGGAGTACATTATCCTTCTATCTTTCAGAGTGCAAAACACGCGAAAAATCTATAATCACTTTTATCACTTCTGCACATCAGGTTAAAAGAGGAGGACTAGACAGAAGTCTGAATGCATATCAGCACAGATGGGCTGGTAGATCCAAAAGTTATTTGGGTTGTGTAAGAACCTGCCCCTCTTGTAATATAACTTCATACACTTGAATTGAAATTAACAATTTAAAGAAAAAAATCTGGTGAGCTCTATAACATGCTCACGGTCCATTGTAAGCAGGGCTTGGCACTGATCAGGACAGCTTTTGTTTTAGTTAAGTGACTACATTTCTTCTGCAAAAAAGTAAAAAAGAATATGTGAAATTACGTGTTTTTCCAGTATCATCATCAGTGTGAATCAGTTCAAATAACAATTATACTTACTTTTTCCGCTTTTGTTCCTGGGGATCCACATTCTCCTCTTTCACCCTTTATAAGAAATCAAAAGGTTAACAGTTAAACAAGATGTTTTGATTACACTATATGCATTAAAGACTGTGCAAGCAGTTCAGCAGCACAAGAAGTTTAGCATATTCTGAGGGCCTGAGAGTGGCATCATTAAATACGGTCTGTAGAAGATATGATCTGCTCTACTCAAGAGAAACACATCTTCTCCCTGAGAATGCCTACCAAATTTCCAACCTATATCATAAGAGGATAATACATTTAATATCTAAAAAGTTTTGCTTATTTTTCCACCTCTCTGTGCTGCCTCTCTATATTCTGATTTCGTATGTTTGATGTCTGAGATTTCCCTAAATGACAACTGTGCAATTGTATGAATGGAATGAAGAAAGGGAATTACTAATGTGCTCCACTGATGAAAAAGCATGGGTTCCACATACGAAAAGTAAACATCTGAGTCTACTTTTCCTATTTCCATGAAATGTTTCAATGAAATGAATGTCAATAAAATCGACAAAAGCACTTTTCTAACGAATACAAACATTCAGAGAAGCACTGCTTTTATTAACAATGTTAAGAAGTAAGTGTCTAAACCAAGGAAATTCAAAATGGGATAGTCTGTTTCTGTTCTGGCTATGACGTTCCAGCTTGCTGAAATAAATTTCAGTTCTAGACTCTTGAAAGTTGTTGTATTTTTTTTTTTTTTTGGCTTCTTGGAGCAACTATCTAGAGATTTTATTTTATTTTTTTTTTAATCAAGCATTAGCCCTTACAGGTTATAATTAGCTTAAAAGTAAACTTCCTTGCTGTAAGTTTTTTGAAAGATAATGATTGCCATGTCTATTTGTAGTGTTTGCAGTAAACGATTTCATATTTTTCTACTGAATCTCTTGTTCAATCCTCAACTTTCTTTTTCCTTCCAGAAGCTTTATTTCTGGTATTTGACATTATTCTTTTTCTATTTAGATTACATTTTCTGATTTTTTTTTTAATTTATTTTTAATTCCAACAATCCATTCTACAAGAATCTACGTAAATGATGAATTTACTTGTAGGGATTGCATTAGGAGATCTCATATCAAAAACAGGAGATAGGCTCTTCTTTCCATTCTGTTACATACACTGTCAGCAAGTGACACTACTTCTTTTCAATAAAAATCTTACCTTTTCTCCCTTGTAGCCAGGAGCTCCCTATTAAAAGATTAAAAACAAAAAAGGGGGAAAAATCATAAAAAATAAAGCAAAGGCATAACATACTGCTAACTTAACTAGGAAAAGAACCCACAAACCAGTATCCAGTAAAGAATTATGTTTCAGAAATTCAGCTATTCACAACAAGATAATATTTCTCTAGAATCATTTAACATATAATTCCCTGAAAATTTAGATGTATACTTTTTCCTTTATAGCTGTAAATACACCACTTAGTTTGCCAGCCTCTTAGCAGATATATGCTAACACTTAAAGGGGACTTTTAAATTGAATTAATCTATGTTAACCTTTCTACTGTGAATCAACAAGAATTCAGGCTGAGAAAGATCAGATCCCAGAAGCCACTGGAGGACTATCTACATGTTTTAGTGATGACATTTTCAATTCTATCTTCGGGATAAATCTAACGCAAGGTGATACAAAATCACATAGTTCAAAAGTTCCTTTTGTCAGTGGCATCCCATCTCTATATGTAAGCACATAGTTAGGCTGTTTCTGTCAGTATAGGTGCTTCCCTAAATCAGAAGTTAGTTCAGGTTCTCTGAATAACTGAATAAAGTAGGTGTGTGAAAAAAACAAAAAATTGCAGCTCAGCGGAACTAAACTGTGAATCAGGGTCTGGAAGATAATCTGAAAAGACCAAATGCAAGCTAGATCTGTAGTAGCCACATACCTCTTTATTTTTTTCCCCATGATCTCCTTTTTGAGCATCGCCCTGTTGGAAGCAAAGGAATAAGAGTGAAATATGTATTCTCTTTATCACTATTACACTAAAACAAACAAAAAAAACTTTTAAGGAGCTAAAGTAGCTTTTTGTTTATGAACTCACACAGTTCTTCCTCCCACAATCAGGGACACATGATTCCTGAACATTAACATAGAAAACTCATCAGCTGTTATTAGATGACTGAAATCCTGAGTCATCAGAGCAAACCCCCCTGCTCCAGAGATTTGTGTATTGTTAAAAAGCTCTGTGGAACTTCAGAGAGCCTTCAGCTAGGTTCAGAGACCTCTGCTGTCAGTGAAAAACTAGGATGATAGGCAGTGTTAACTTGGTACCAGTTAAATTTGAAATTTTTCTCTCTCACTTCTAAAGCAGTTTGCTATAAACATCTCACAGCAAAAGTCAATTTTTTACATCATATTTTAACATACTTTGATATATTCACTTCTATGGTTTGCATAAAACCAGACAGAAATTTTTTTGATTTTTCTAAATTTTCTTTACCTTGTTTCATTTTAGTCCTGGCTCACCTTTTTCCCCTCTGCCCTGAAACAAAGCAGGAAAATGTTAATACTATTATGAGGATAAAATTCTCCAGTTTCTCTAAGACTGCATCTTTAGGGACAGGCAAAAATAGTTATAAATAAGCTTAGGTGGAAACCCACACTAGGTATGGCGTGCATGACAATACTTTCACAGCTAAAAAAAAAGTCTGGCATTGTAAGGCTTCTGTGATTTTTTAAAAATTAATATTCAATGATAATTACATTTTCTACAGAACATTTGAAAATCTAGCCAGGAAGGTGTAAGAGAAAACACATGCAGTTCCTCCTCCTCACTTTTCAGTCACCTATCTGATTATCTCAGCATAAAAAAAACACCTGTCCACAGAACAGCTTAGTGTCAATATTCTGCAGCCCCAAAATAAAAAATTATTACACCATTATTCCTGTTTGGAGAATCATGAAGGTGGGAAATGGGAAGCTCAGTGTGTATGTGTGTATATATAAAAAATACATATATAATAGGTTACATCTAGCCATTTTGGATAAAGTAACTTAAAATCCTTGGATCTTACATTTGAAATGGAAACAGGGATTTTAGTTCCAGATGCACATTATCCAGAGTCAAGGGGCTGGATGGTAGGCCTTACTGTCATAACCTGCTACACATATGGTTGACCAGTTGCCTAGGGTCTAGGGAGAAAGGCAAAAACCTCTCTATGTACTTTAGTTGTCTCTGGGGAACTAGTAAAGATACCAAAAGGATCAGAGAGGTCACACACTGTCTGAACTCCCACTTCTCTCTTCTTTACCAGAGCCAAAAAACAGTCATGTGTTGAAGTGTCACAAAATAAATGAGCTGGAGGCAGAGTTTCAGAACTTTCCTCAGATATGCCATCACCCACAATCTTCTGAATCTTTCTCTCTTAGGATCATAGAATAGTTAGGGTTGGAAAGGACCTGAAGATCATCTAGTTCCAACACCCCTGCCATGGGCAGGGACACCTCACACTAAACCATGACACCCAAGGCTTCATCCAACCTGGCCTTGAACACTGCCAGGGATGGAGCAGTCACAACCTCCCTGGGCAACCCATTCCAGTGCCTCACCACCCTCACAGTAAAGAACTTCTTCCTTATATCCAATCTAAACTTCCCCTGTTTAAGTTTTAACCCGTTACCCCTTGTCTATCACTACAGTCTCTAATGAAGAGTCCCTCCCCAGCATCCCTATAGCTCCCCTTCAGATACTGGAAGGCTGCTTTTACACAAATGGAAACTGCTGGTGTAAGTAAACCTGTATCTAATGGACCTTTCTTCCCCATTGAAGGATTCAAGAATAGCTTTTTGATTTGGGCTTCAAAATAATGTACTTATTTACACATAGTGTTCTATTACCCAATAATATATTTCAAAGATAGCATATGATCATGGATAGATCTTTTTTTTCTGAGCTCTTGTAACAGTGGCCTTTCACAGTGAATCACTATGATAAATAGCTTCTTTTTGCAATACATGCACAGCAATGTCTTACTTTTTACAGACATAGTAACCGATTTAAATACTATGCAACATTGATGTCAATGATTAAAATTCAAACTCTGGAAGCTTTTCAAATGAATGCATACTTACATGTCTCCTTTCGCTCCCTTTTCACACTCACAGTTCTTCTGCATACACTACAAGGTGAATAGAAACATGAAAGAGAATATTTTTCAAATGTATTACTTCCAATTTTAAAACAAAGCCTCTATTTTTTCCTAGCCACAACTAGACAACATAAAAGTGGAACAGCAATAAATAAATTATCTTCTTTTATATATATATTTGTTTTATAATCAACATTACACTTCTGTATAGCCCAGTCAAAATCAGTTGCTTGATTTATTTATAACAAAACAAAACAAATCTGTTACTACTGCAACTACAAAGGTTTAAGGTTGCATATACATAGTATATAGTAGCATGAAACCATACATTATTTTTGGACCATACTGAGGTTGCTATTTCTTTCTAGTGAGATGACTAATAAACTTGCATGTGCTGTTCTAGTCCTATTCCACTCTGCTAGGAAGAGTTCCTTATGTCTTACTGTTGATACTTCTCGCTAATGAACAGAAGTTGTAGATTTCTCAGACGAAGAGACAAAAAAAATGGATGAAAGTTAAAATAAAAGCAACCATGGTTGAAACTGTACTCAGGGAAGGAAGGTTGTTTTCTCCCGGAGTGTTGTTGTATTATAGAAGCAGACATCAGGAGATCTAATATGAATAACAGTAACTGAAACACAAAACTCAAAAAAACTACCTGCTTCTGAAGAAAGGCTTCTTGAAAAAAAAAGGAAAAATATTACTTTCATACAGATTTAATTTAACAGAGTACTAATTTCCAAGGTTAATGGTAAAGAATGTGAATACCTTCATTCCTTCTTCACAGTGGTAAGAACCAGTCCATGGAACCACTCATATGAAAAAGGGCTCTCCAGCAGAAATAAGGGGCTACTTCATGTATCCCATAATGATCAGAAAACAAATGAGATGTAATGAGACAGCTATATAGGCATACTAAGGAGCAATGCTAACAAGGGGCATATGAAAAGACTTCCTAATGAAAGGTCTTACTAGGGAAGGCCCGACTAACATAATGTAGCAGAAGGACTTCGTGATTTTATCAGCCTTATGATAAAAGGAACAAGTTACTTCTGAAGCATTATCATATGTTCAGAGACATACTCTGTGTGCTGGAAAATACCCTTTCCCTCCAACAGTGATCAGTGCAGCTGAGCTATTATTGCCCAAGCATACAGCTCCTTGGAGACTGGCTGGGAGGAGAAGCTCCCTCTGTCCTGACTCCTGATGTAGCAGAGACATCCTGCCTCCTCTTGTAAGTGGCTCTACCCTGCATCTAGATCCTTTATAGTCCATTATTGCTGTTTAGTTGGCCAAAATGTAAATGAACATAGGCAGGCACTTAGCCAGGGCTGAGTAGGAGCAATTTTATTAAAGTGACAGTGTCAGTCTGGGAGCACAAGTGTTTTCCCATTCTAAAAAACTGATCTTTTACATTTAAAAACTCAGGCAATCTGCATCTTTACCCATCTCCTTGCCAGACACACCTCTTGAGCTTGTCCATGTTAAAGCTCCAGCACTGTCTAGATCAGAGATGTGGGATTAATACATTATAATTTGTAAGCTAGAACTGAATTCTGACCCTATGGAAGACAACCTAAAAAAATCACTGCTATGTGATTAAGCACTGAAGCGTTTCAGTTGCAGATTAAAAATTAGAAATTATTTGGCCATTTCAAAACCACGTTTTAAAAAGATAGTTTTGACTGAAGCAGATTTTTTTGGCAGAGGTCAAATCTTTCAGCAAAAATGTAGGATTGAAAATGTGCAAACAGTTGTTTATTAATGATCCAACAGTACTGAATAGCTTTAAAAAAAATCTGCTTAAATGCCATGTAAGCTGCACTCTGTAACTTTCCTGAAGATAGATTTTCTAGACTTGAGATCACCTTGGTAGCTTATCTCTGGGACACTACTTTTAGACATATGCACCAAAAATAGATTCAGTAACTAATTCTATAGGACAATAACGCTGCCTATTCATTGCTTTTTGGTGTTTGTAAACTCAAAGACTGTGGGTGTTCTTTTTGTTCCAGCGCCTGATAGAAGTTCCACAGCAAAATTAATACCTCTCATTACATAGAAGACACTTTCAGTACAGCAAGTGGCAGGCAAAACTTATGAATTGTCTTACCACAAAAATATGAAAGTTGAGGCTTTGCGTTCTCTGTAAGTAATTTCTCCTTTTTCAGTTTTGTAGGAAGAGTGCATCTGAAAGTTGCAAACGCAAAGAATAAAGAATTTCAAACTTTCATTTTGGTATTGCAAATTTAGTAAGTTTATTTAGTAGAAATAGAGTGAACACCCTGCTTATCAATTGCCATTGGTAAGTCCTTCTTGAAGGCAATCAACTTTCCAAAAAAATGCTAAACCACATATGTTTATCCTGCACCAAGCATAGCTCTTACATGGCATGCCCTTTGGAAAACTGTCACAGCACAATATGGTAGAGTGTAAATACTTGCTCTCAGAGAATTGCTGGTCTCCTGATCAAGAAATTTCATTAACAAAGTTGATAGTTTGCTATGATCCAGATTTAATTATGGGGAAAACAGAAAAACAGAAAAAAAAGAGAATACCTATAAATCATAAGATTAACATTACTGTTGTTTTATACACTAAATGAAAAATGGAAAATATTAAAGTCATTTAGATATTCCACAAGCCTAAGGCAACAAGAAGGGCTTCTATAAGTACATTAACTAAGTAGCTAACACTAGCCTTCTGCGATTATAAATCCACTGAACTACACTTGCAGCACCCTACACCCATATAAAACCAAATCTATTAAAATTAACAGGGGATGTTTTCCCTGTGGCAAGCTAACAAGGTGGGGAAAACTTTTTTCCCCTCCTGCAGA